TGAGAAAATTTACCACTTTAAAGGCAGTTGTAATCCAAGCCCATTAAAATATTTGTTGAGATGAGCGTTTTTAAAAAACAGTAAAAAACATAACTAATAAGTCTATACGTGACTGGCTTGTGGCACTTGAGTATGTATTTTTTAAATGATCTCAACGTATAGATTTTTCACGAATTTGCTCTACGAGGTAATCGACGTCAATGGAATTAGACAGAAAAATTCGAAATTCTTCGTAGTATTTACATAAACGTTTGTTCCAGGCAATAAAGTCGTGATCTCCAGTAGCGATTCTAACCTCTTGTATACTCATCATATTTTCATAAGATGGGATCGAGAAATTACTGCTATATAAAGAAGAATGGCCTTTCCACTGCTGAGGCTGCAAATCAAGTGAAGATGCATCTTGAGCTGGTATAAACTGTGGACGTATTCAAGTCACCCTTCGTGTTGGGACCATTGATTGGGTACAAAGTTGATTTGATACGTCCGCCGCCTACACGAATTGGTCTCGTCAAATAGAAAATCCTCTTCCAAAAAAAAACTGAAGAAGTGCGTTAATTCAAGTGTCCGCTTCATTCCGAACCTCAGTAGAAAATAGCGAAGCAATAACTTTCGTGTGATGACGCATGAACTCAGCAAACAAGATGTTATTAACTTATAACGCAAAAAATTTGAAGAACTTCTATATCATGCAGATTAGAATAAAGGTATTTGAGTATATGTTCAATGTACGTCTTTTTATTATTGATAAACCAACGTGCTGGAAGTGTTTCAATAGTTGGGTGCTTGTGATTTGCATGACCATAGCTATTCTCATCATCTATGGGCTATTTAAGAGATATCTAGTGGCATTAACCGTTTTCCTTTCGCACAGTGTCTTGTGGTAGCGAATTTCCCACTCAGCTATTGCAATTTTGTGCATCACCTTACTGTTCAGTCTATTCGATACTGCCACCAGAGTCGCATTATCTTCTGTTCGATGTCATTCTCTCGCGTGATGATTTCCTGATAGTCGGAACACACTTATCCACGTCTCGTCGACGGCAAAAATACTGTAAAATGCCATGAGCGTGTTTTTTAAGTAAGGGGAAAATGTCACTTTCGAATTCCCCGTTTTCTTCGAGTGCTTTCTTTTCTTTTAGAGTACGGTACGCAATAATCACGTTCTTATTGACCTAGTAAATATACAAGATGATATAATTCAGAAGGAGAGCACCTCAATACAGGGGAGATTACTGATTTATTTTTAATTTCTTTGGCCTTACCATGTTTGATAGAATTTGTTTATTATAAAGATTACCTCTACTACCTCGTTTCACAAAGTTTAAACAAAGTCCCACGCAACATAGCCGTTTACACTCTAATAAGATAGTTACGCTCAGAACACAGCATTTTAAGGCTCCCTTTGCACCAGGCAGAATATAAACACGCTACTTCATATATATATCTATGCTTCAGTTATTGAATTACTTCTGATTCGCTACATAACCAATGGCCACTCGCAAAATTAATTATGTACTCTCAAAAGCTTTTCCTTTTAATAGTTCCAAATCTGATGTAAAAAAGTATAACTGTACACAATATACAAATTATCTCAAAATCTAATTAAGATGTGTAAAAATTCTTTTTTGACTGATTAAGATTATGACTTTTGATTTCTATGTAGTTAATGAAACGATCAAGAAAACGTACAACAAAGAGGCTTTTCTCGATTGGCACTGAGCGCAAAATTTATGAGCACTCTTAACTAATAACACCTTTCATGTCTTTCTGAACGTGACAACACTGAAACTTGGCAGCGCAAGCAGCTTCGGTTCTTCTTTTCGCTCACAACTAACCCTTGGTTGACACAAACGTTCCATATTTTTCGGTGGGCCCTTGTTTACTTCCACTGATCTTTGCATCTGATTAATGCATTAAGATTCGTTAAAAGTAATTAAGTCTATGTAGCAGTTAAATTATCTAACCAATCGTTGCCATTAAAATAAATATGGTTTTCACATATTCACAAGTGAACATTTCTATTATTATTTTCTATATGTATTTGTGTTAGAGCAGATTATTAATCTGCGCTGTTTTTTTAAAAACTAAGTTCGACGAAGATGGGATTCGAACCCACGCGGGCAGAGCCCATTGGATTAGCAGTCCAACGCCTTAACCACTCGGCCACCTCGTCGTGATGACATGCGTGTGTTTGAAACCTCACTAAATTAGTTGTAAATATAAATATAAAAAATAAATAAAATCGTTACACTGAGTGTCTCACACACTAACTGCTCATAAATCGAGACGAGCAATTTAGCTTGTGGAACCCATGAACTCCAGTTGTTAAACTAGCAGATTAGTCTTCCTATCTTCAAACTATGGTACATGACATAACATCCTGTGGATTTGCAAATAAAACTAAAACTGCGGGTAAACAAACTCGGCAGCACCATCCATTTTACTCGGTAAACAAAGAAATTAAACAAAAATCAGTCATCTTATGTTTCATTAACGAAATTAAAATTATGCATTATCTCGTATCTTTTCCTGCTGTTTCTAACTGGCATCTTCTTTGGTTTGGTATCATCGGCCTTGAAGCTTATATCTTATGGTTTAATGCTTTTTAATGAGGGAATTTTTGCAAGCATTTGCTTGTAAATACAGATAACAAAACACGTGTAAATATACTAATATAAATATACGTTGCTAAAAATTACTGCATCTTAAAAGGTTAGAAATCTACTAGTGGGCCTGACTACATCGCCCAATAGCTTATTTACGGTACCTAGTCTGACAATGTTTACAAAAGCATCTGCAAACATTTTCATTGCAAATATACGCTTTCCATTCCTGCTTCTTGTATTGCCGTGTTGCAAACCAGACGATGACATTTATAAACTCAAAACCTAATTACTCTATGATAATTTATTCTGTTAGTGCGTCTTCAATCATTGTCAGCCGTCAGTGGCTATGTGCAAAAGAGAAGAATCCATTTGCATATCTTTTCACCTACGCCTGCCTATGAAGATACGAGATGCTGCTGTTTCGCACACATTGAACGTTTTGCAGGTGTCTTCAATGTCTCTACGATGAATTGTCTGCCAACATATACACTAGGAGATTCCGGGATGAAGTGTAAAAACCGACTAGCGATTTCAGGAACGTAGGTTGAACTTTATCTGTCATCGCTGGATCTCAAATGCTTAGATCATTCCAGTCGACAGGGAAACCGCGAGTTGCAGTTAGTGCTATGTTCATATTGAATAGTTACGTCGCAATGGCTAATAAAAGCTTGTAGGGATTTCCAATTGTGATTGCTGCTACCATTGACTCATACGTCGTGAAATGACTGCACGGTGTTGTTAACACTAAGCCGAGGTACATATCGGACTTGACTAGCCTTCCTCTGGCCAGACAGTTGCTTAATGTTTTCAAATCTGTCTTTCCTCCTGAACTTCATGTTTTTAATGTTTGCGTTATTTTTTTGTGGCCGAGCTCCTCGGCATGGTTCTGCAGTTTCACTAGTGTCCAATGTAGGTGGAATAACAAACTAAACGAAGAAAAAACATCTTCCTATTTGAAAAAAGCTAGCCAGGTAAGACGTTTACTTTGATAGCTTGAACGACCTTTAATGTTTACTAGGTATTTCTTTAGAAGCGGTATCTTACGAAGGATTATAAAAGTTTCCTAAAACATAAAGCCATAATTTGGTACCAATCTGTTGCATGATGCAAGTGAGCGCGCATACTTTCTAGTGGCCGCAATGGTGTCAACATCATGTTGGTAGACATGATATAATTTTTGAAATCGTAAATCGAACCCAGTTTTTTTAAAAATATTTTCAAAACATATCAAACGTCCAAATGCTGTTTGTAATAACAAGTTCGCTTTTAATTCGGTTTTAGCTCACATTTTGTCACAACAAGCAGTCAAAAAGATATATCGGTAATTATAAAAGAGCAAAAGCAGAATACGAATTGTGTATTTTTTTACAATTTTATTAAATTTAGTAAGTTTCTGTAAAACTCTAGCTTATTAAAAAATAATTTTTTAATGAGTCACGGAAGAGGCCCTGAATTTTACTTTCAATTCAATTTGTGAGTACTTGTGCATGTTTCACGCTCCTTATAAGCAAAATAGATTTTGAAAATAATTGAAGAAGCAAGCCATAAGAAACAAGAGTTAGTAAAATGCAATAAACAGATGCAAGGTTTCCAAAATGCTCGTAGACCTGCAATGTAAGTTAATTATTTGAATATTTTTAAACGGTATTATTTCTTAGTTGAGAAATCCCATGCAGGAACTTTTGTTGGAGGCTCTAAAAACGATCTCTTTTACTTTTTCTCTTTATACTGAGATGATAAATCGCTTTGTTTATTTATGCTAATAAGATTTTAGACAAACGAGCGATATAAACGTCAATTGAGCACCAACCGTAAACCTCATCGCTAGAGGTTTCACCTAGCCTTCTTATTTCTTTAATACTAAGGATATATTCATTACTTTTGGCCTATATTATCACTGCATGGAACTGAAACGGTACACAACCTTTAGGTTCAGTCAGGGTAAATGTGGAAGTGCTTGCAGCTTGTTCCAGTATTTTCCAATACAATGTACAACGTCTAACCGGATAGCTTTTGCCAACTCTTATAGAATTGTTGTTAGGTAAAGCACAAAATATAGTATATAAAGTAATGATGAGTAATTTACACAAAATGCTTCCTCTAATCTTAGATGCTGAACACCAGGACGTCCCGAATTTATAAATAACAACAACGTTTGCTTCAGAATATATATGTGTATATAGATATATATTATTATCTCATTAGACATAATTCTAAAACATCTCTTTTTTCACGTTTTATATTCGCTCATTAGCTCTTATTTGTGGCTCTTTTCCCTTTTCTTACTACTATTACTATTATCTAGTTTTTTTGCTTTTGCAGTTCATTCGAATAATAACAGCTAAGCCATATCGCTGTAGCGAGCGATTCGTTTTATGTACTATTTATATCTTTTTTTTTCGACCTGCGTCTACTTTAAGTCCACCTGCAGTATTAACGAACAAATGAACTAATTATTTTAATTATTTCAATACAAGACTATCTTGATAAGTAAACGCTTCCTAATTCATTACCTAAGCGAGCAAGTCTACACCGTTGACGATGTGGGTTGACATTTCTGTCCGTGCACGCACTTCAGCCACGGTAACGCCTCCGTTTAACAGTAGATGGTAAGCAATAACGTTAAAATATCAAGTAGGAGTAATGTCTTATGTTCGTTTAACATATCCAGAATAACACGACCAGTATAAATAGTTAATTATATATATAATGCTAAATAAAATACATACGCAGGTATATACTGTCTGGACACTAATGACTTTTACTTTAGTCGCCGGATAAATAATACAGTAACGATAACTCCACTCATAACTACAGTAATAATTATAATAATAAGAGTACAACTGCATATGCAATAACAACAAGAATAATCGTTATATTTCATTCTTTATCAGCTTCTGCAGAAGTCAAGCCGACCCAAAAACAATGTTGTATAAGTTAGTAAATGCCCTTAGGCGGGCCCTGTCCAAATAAATGGCTCCACGACATCGGCGTCTGCCATCCTTTTTCAGCCAAATGAAGCCACCGATTGAGTGAGTTGGCCAACAGAAGGGCATCGGGCGTATTATCACCTAAAGTTGGATAATAGGATAATAGATAGTATATAATAATTAACTTGTAGACTGACATATATCATTTAATTCGGAGCTATAATTTCTTTCTAAAGATACATTTCCAATGACCCACTAAACTAGACCTGTCTAGCTTCAAATGCATTCTGATTAAACCTATCACCAAATCTCCTATAGTTTCTTGGAAGCATTATAAATATGTTTACACGTTTTTTTTTGTTTATGATAGAGTTGTAATCAAAACCACATTCTGGAACAATTTCCCACCACAGAATGTTTACGATGTGTGTGTGTACGTGCATGTACCTTCTGAGCAGTATAGGAGCATCATCACAACAGGCACGTTGAGTGGCTTTTGACATTTGTCCCAGATTGGTCGGGCCATGCCCGCACCCGGCATCAGAAATACGCCACCCTCCGGCGAGGGACATTTCGTTAATGGATCTTGCTTTTCAAACAAACGCCAGCCCTGAGCCATAACTTCTTCACGCGTTTTGTCGTCCACAGCTTCACCGCATAAATAGCGCAGCGCGCCCCTATAGCAACCAAAATTAGACAAATTATTACGTTTCACACGTACACGTAAAAAAATAATTTGAAGATATGATAGAATTTCAAGCACTTTAGAGTGAAAGGAGATTCTTATTGACTCCGCCACATAAAGCCAATTTATCCTACAAACTATTATAGTCGAATGCCCGACAGTTTTTAACGTTGTAGCTCCCAGGTCAGTAAGCATACAAATGTGCAATACCAACAAGCTACATGCTCTACATGTATTACAAACACAGCAGAAGGCTACATACTCCTTCAGATCTTCTGGGCTACGGTACTCCGAAAGGCACGATGCCAACATTACTACGAGATGAAATTTCATTTCTTTCATCCATCGAGTCAGCTGGGAACTATACTCGCCTCGGCAACTCTGAAAAGTGTGAACTTGTGTTACTCAAACATTGTATTTTTTTCCTCTGGAATATAATAATAATACTAAATACCAGAGTTGTTAGTAGCTGTGGATCCCTTGATTGGGTTCAGGGTTTAATACAGCAATTAATTTAATTACCTTGGCGATATTTAATGGCATCTAAATGCAGGTTGTTGACAACAGGCATATGGAAAAAACTAATGTAGTTCTACTTAGGACTACATAGGTAATTGCACTTTTATTATTAATCCATATGTCGTGGATTTCACTACGACTCTAAGTTAATCCTCTTTTTAACTACCACCTAACACGAATCTCTTGTCACGACGCGTTGTAAGACCAATATTTCTTTAAAAATGCTTTACTCACCGGAGACACAGGTGTTCTCTGTTGGAGAATTAGAATCTTTTTCGAAGGGCAGGCGTACAGCTGGCACGCAGTGGCAAGACGTGGGTCAGTATCGACGTAAGGATTACCTCCAACTAGAGGTAGCAACGAACTCGAATGGATGTACCCTGCCAATTCTGTTTCCAATGAAGAGCACAACAGATCCACAGCCAACTGGGCTGCATTGCCTATTGATACCACTGGCTGTCAACACAAACATGTAAAAAAGTGAGACATAACTGGATGTATATTTAGGAAATCTGGTTGCGCTATAGGATCGACTGGATACCCTGTACATAATTGTAATCAGCGCGGCAATGCCCCGGGTATCCCACCGCTGTCGATCCATAATAGTTTCTAGTGCATTATTAAATTTTACAAGTATAATCGTGAGTTAATACGAGTCAGAATGTATTTATTCCCTTGGGAATAACCGTTATTATAGGAAAAAAAAAACGCTAAATTTCAATCACAGACACTTAGGTTTTTGCCCATATAGCCCCACAAGTTGGGGTTATATGAGTGAACTAAAATGGTTATGCATGATCTGATATAAAGACTTATCCATAGTTAATTGTGATTATAAGGAATGATGTGATGCATGTGCCGACGGTTTTGTTTACTCTTAGTGGTCGGCTATTCCAACATGATTTCCAAGTTTTCTTTAAAACCAATTATATATGGCATGCTCTTGGCCACAACGACATACTGAGCACTTAAAAACGTATTACGTTGATAGTATTCATTTCAAAAACTGATATCTCCCTTTTGGACAGAGACAAGAGTTTATAGAACTTCACTCTTTGCCCCATACTCACATTTACCCGGTCAATCCTCTCCGATGACCTCACACAAAATTAGGTTGACGACATATAACGGTCGGTTAATCGTACGCTATTGTTATGTGAGAATGTACAAAGAACTGAACTTTACGTCATATATGGTTTGAAAAGTAAAATAGATTCTTAAACAATGTTCTTACAGCAGGACGACTAAGAATAATAGATAAGAATAACAGATCGTGAAAAAAAGTGAAGGCAATAAAGTGCTATTGAAGGAAATGAAAATAAGTAAATGCTAGCTTAAAGATTAATTTTTCATTGAAAATATAAATGTTGGTATATGACATTCCGTAGAATAAAACATATAGATATAACGACGAAGACGAGCAAAAAAGGTTAACCTTTCAGGAGAATTTTAGTTCCTTGTCGTAAAATAGCAAATTAATAATTCCTGCCTAAAATAAATAGCGAAGAAGGATGATCAGTACTGATATCATGACAGGCAAAAAGTTAAAATGTTCTTCTTTGGTTGTATAAAACCGAGAGGCTTTACTACATACTTAATCAGTATGCTCAAATATGTCCTCTCCGCTAATGAGCCCGCCTTTAAGAGGAAATCTGCAGACTTATGATTACAGTGATTTTTAAAACACTTTTCTGCACGGAGTTTACTACTTTTTTTTTTATATAAACAGAACCAAGAAATTGCATCATGTTTTAGTTACATTTCCACCTCCCACTAATGTGCTGAATTACTTAGCAAAGATAAATATAAAATTCAAATATGTAACCTTATAGCTATACTGTTATGGAGTTTCCTTGTTTCGATGGTCTGCTGCCTGTACGAATAATGTCAGGGAAATATGGCTTCAGAGATAAATTCAAGAGGCGCAGTTTATTCAACAAAAAAGTATGTAGGAGATGAATACAAACGAACACTCGATTGATAACTTACAAATATCAGTGACCAATCGCTCCAGTCCCGATTCTGGTATTTTTCAAGAGGCACAAACATTGCTGCGAGTTAGATGGGGGAGCAATCGATAAATGCGATAATAATGGGAGTAATCGGACGAAGGTGTTACCCAATTATAAAATTCAAGAAATCAATCACGCTCAATAACCAACACGAGAACAGCTCTAGGGGGAATGGGGAACACGCAAAGTTGTTTGAAACAAAATCGTTAATCAGGCCGTCTTCTCTATTGCAGTGACACAATTAGGATAGAACAGGCAGCGGCATTACAGCGCCAGTTTGACACCATCATTTTGCTGCTGCTCGTCGAATGTTGCCGCTTCATCCTCCTCGCGTCGTTTTCAGAGAGAGGGTCGAATGATTTAAATGAGCGCGCGAAATTAAACCGATTTCAAAAGCCAACCGTACCCGCTTATTACCGATTAGGTTGTAATCTGTATGTATATATATATATAATAGGAGTCAATACGGTCATCTTAAATTAACTTCATTCGATCAGTTAACTGTTCATTGTGGAAACTGTTTATAATGAAGACACATGGATAGGCAAAGTTCAGGTCGTCCGTTAACTTGATTTGCACAGTTCGATATAGGTTATCTCTTAATAACAGCTCTCGTTCAACTGTACATAACATTTATAGGAGATAAATATTTGTTACATGCAGGTTTACGTAGTGTGTCTGCAGGGTAATGGACTATTTTGAAGTAAGCAGGTCAACTAAACACGCGTAGCATAATAAGCAAGCTCAATCTGTTTTTGTTTATCGACACTGGCTTATATTCCAGGATATGGGTCTTGACTAGCTCTTATCAAAATAAAAGCTGGCAATCCTCGGCTCATTATTTACTCCTCCTAAGTAATAAATTCTACAAAAGATCATAAACGCCAAAATTACTACGCCAGAAGAAATACTGGATAATAAAAGCACGAGGCACATTCGAAGGGCAACTTATTTTCGGTTACGTTTCAGTCAGAGACCAACAGAACAGAAATGTCTATCAAGTACCACGCAATGTTTGCAACATTCTTAAATTCTACAGTTTGCTATCTAAGACCACAGATGATTACTGAAATAGCTTTTTGCGAAGACCAATTTGTGACGAGTAGAGGCATGAGACTTCGTAGTCGCATTGCGGGTAGTTAAGGCAGCTGTCATAGCTTTGAGTGTCATGTCCTGCAGAGACCTGTTTGATATCAGTCTGAAGCGTTATACAAATGTATATTCTATGAACATGTGTGAGCCCTGTCCATGAAACAGATTTCAATGTAATGAGAAGATTTGTCCAGTTGTTGCAGCTTCTCTTGTATTTGAATCGCACTTGCACGGCCATTCTTGACGATCAACGCAGTATTTATATTCAAGATTTCAATAATAACGATAATGTTGGTAATAATAATAATAATATTAATTACTGTTATTATTATGGTCGGCATATATATAATGAAAAGGTAGTAACTTTTGCATCGTTAAATGACGTAACTTTGCAAAACTTTGCAAAAACCATCGATGCTCGTACGTTACGCATTTATTTGGCGTCAACAATGTGATACATTATGGTTTCGTTAATAAAGCACAGCATTTTTAATGCAATACGTCCTATCTAGCTAATACACAAGAAAAGCTAATATATTTCAAATAATTAAAAAAAAAAAAGCTTTTCCTCATAATGAATGAAACACTATCTCACTCGATAAGGTGAACGTTTACGCAGTCAACTTTATTTACGGCCTTTTACATGGAGTAACTCGACGACTTGCTATTGTACCCTCATTAACTACAGTTGAAAGAAAATAATGTCAACCATTAAGCTTTTTATGTATTGATTAACCAAATAATTGATATCTTTCCTACGGATTTTTATAACAACGTTTAAAGGTAAGTTGCTTATTTGTTTTTCCGAATTTCGAACGAGTTAAATTGCAGCTCTGGTATGTCCTTCTCATTCGTAAACTCTGCATTGTCAATTTGCGACTGGGGACTTCCCGTTGTTCGTAGCCATATTTTCATTTTATCGAACGCTTCAGCTGGACCCTGAATTTCACCTGAAGACATAAGTAAATGGCTAGTCGATACGTAAACATAAAATATAATGTCTATAATGAATCGATATGAAAATAGAACTATAATGAATCTGTAATCTCATAATTAATAGCTGGCTTAGGCGATCACACGATAAAAAAGACAGCATAGAGTGATCGAAAATAAAGTTCTCGGTAGTGTAAGCAAGCTCGAGTTCTAACAATGGATCTAAGCAAAATTAGTGATATGCTAGATGAAACGTGGTCTGTATTCAAGTGTTACGTATAGAGTACATAAGACGGTACCGATACGACAGTTAATATTGCACTTATTTACGTGTGCTTTTAATTAGTGAAACCTTTTTTTGAACTTATCATCTGTGATTCATTGTGTAGCTGGTACCCGTAACAGGACGTCGTAACATAAGCAGGTCAGTTTATTTGTGACAAAGTTTAATTATATATTGAAGTTACTTCGGTTTTGTTGTTATGTTGTCCATTTGTATTCTTTTTCTATATCCTATCACTAATTAACGCACATCCAATTAGCGTTTCACTCCAAGTTTCGGCATGTGACATCGAAATGACTTATTCATAATTGTACATGTTACGTTAAGAACATAACGCACTGTAGCGTATAGAAAAAATGGCAAAGCCTGAAACAAACCTTCCACTGTATCTCGTGAGGTGTTCCTTATCCAACCAACAACTCCAAGCGACGTCGCCTCTTTTTGAGTATATTTGCGAAAAAAAACTCCCTGAACTTTTCCAAAACACTCAAACGAAGCTGCGCGAAAGACCATTTTTCTTGACTGTTCACGTCCTACCTGTGGTAAACAGTGGTTAGTGCAGAACAGCTGATTTTTGTTATTAAATAGGACTTCTCCGTTGACACGAAAGACCGCACACAAATACACATAGGCTAGGATAATCGCATAGCTTTCCATTTGCCAGAGCCCGTTCGGTGCTCCTCCGTACTGTTCTGCGCAGATGTATGAACTGTTAGTCGGTCAATAAATCGTTACTTCAAGATACGTGAAAACATAGAAGCATCTCATATGATACGACGACAAAATGTATTTTGCTTCCAAAATGATCTAAGATCCGTCAATACAGCAACGTAATAAACAATTGGGTTCCTATTAAAAATTACGCTAATGGATGGCTATTTGCTATTGGTAAATAAATAGGCCGAAACTGCACGTTAATGAAAAAAGGGAGCTTCAATGTTGACAATGAAATAGACCATAAATAGGTAATTTTGTTGGCCTTAATTAGTTCCGTAGAAGCGGGTGTTTAATTTGGTAGCAGTTCTTTATCTTTGGTTAACCTTTGGATAATGCAGCAACAACTTAGTATGTTTCATCCTGGATTGTATCTATTCGAATGCGTTTTAACAATGTATGCAGCTCATATCTCAATGTTAGTTTCACAATCACATGATGAATTGGTCTTCCGTTGAAAGAAAGCTGCCCAAAAATGTTATGGGTAAACACTGATGTGTCTGGTGCGGATGACACCTTGTTGTATTCTGAAGATCGTCTTGTGTCACAGATCAAATGATACTTTATCCCAAAAAATCAACCAGTCTATAGTCTTCTTATTGCTTACCAAATGAATCTGATTATTAACCATTTTTGAGTTATTTTCGTCTAGCCACGATGCGACAAATCGCCTGCTATGCAAAGTAAAAACATCAGCGATCACGACATCATTAGTGCAGCGCGAGAGCGGGCTTTTTCTGTCTATATACCCGATCTGTTGGGGTACCGCACGTCTAGCATCCTCAGCTGTCATACCGACCGCCTATAAAAAAAACACTGCAATATTTATTGTGCGCCCATAAAAAGATGTATAAAATAATGCATAAAGCCTAAGTAATGACAATGTACTTCTGTCAGGTTCACTACGAATGAAGATGAAACCACGCTCATAATGGAAGTGGAAAATAATCAAAATCTGCTAAATGGCTTTGCCAATGAAACAATTTTCACGACTGAGATGACTCGCTTAAAAGAAGCTGAGGTGCTGATGGCTTCGTTGGAGGAATATGTGCTGCGGAGGTATAGCCCGCGACCTTCGGCTTACATAGGCAAGGGTAAGTTTGACATTTTAAAGAAGTGTTGCTTAATGAGAACGACTGTTATAATACCTCGATAGTTTTCGATTCCGAATTGCCTTTGCTGCAAATCCGAGAAGTGATCGAAATGCTTTAATTGGTCTTTACTTCCAAAAAGCTAATACAGCAGTTTCCAATATTTTACATAGCAGTAACTGAAAGTGAATTTTATGTTAGATGAAGAAAAAAATAACGATTAAAATACCCGAAATAAAAAGGAAAAAATAACCCTTCTTAAATCTCGGTTTTCACGAACTTCTGTACTTTTTTTTTTTACAAGCTTACTACTAGAATTGAAGCAAGAGATCTAATTTATTTCGGTTCTTTTTCAGGTGCATTTCAGATGAAGCTCGATGAAGTACGATCTAAAGTGTACTCGCTCGAGACCCAACGAAGTGACGAAGAGCTCCTTTGGATTGTAAGTGATCGATGAATATGACCTCTGTTCAGCCATTTTACCATAACGTCTATAGCAGTATTAAAAATATTTCCTTCCGATGGCCAACCTTCGATGTGGAAAACCTCACAATTTTGGGGTTTCTTTAAAGACCATTGCGGAAGTAGAAGGTATTCACATTCGGTTTCATACAACGTCCACACGTCTGGCCGGCTTTCTCTCATTGTTTTTTTAGCGTTGGAATAATACTTTCTCCGTCAATATGCTTTTCGTAAATGTTTAGACTTGAAGAGAGATACCATTTCGCTGCTCCCGCAGCCATAACTGGGGCATTATAAAATAATTAATGTATTTTGTTTTAGGTTAACGAAACTTTCCGGCATCAGCTCACGCCATACTTCCCGTTGATCAGTTGAATTAATCTGATTCATTAGTGTTACAATTAGAGTAGCGTAAAGTATAGGTCGAGTACACATTAGTAGTTTACCGTTGTAATCACCGCGTCCTAGTCAACATTTGATCAGACTATTTCGATAGAAATAAATTTGATCTGCGTAACATCGAACCTACTAAAATCTAGAGGTCGATTGGAAACATCAGTCGTCAGCCGGTCGCAACTTTTTCAGAACCTACGGCACCAACTTCGTTTTTTCCCCTTTAGAATTGTTCTGTCACAATAATTTTATCTTTCCGATATTTCCTGATTCAGTCAATCTATCGGCAACATTTGCCCGTTCTTCCAATAGATGTTACAATAGTTCTCTATATACAATATGAAAATCTCGGATTCGCATTAGCATTTTCACAATAAATTTTGATAGAAAAAAGCATTGACACATAATGGCCTAGGTTCGAATACAGGCATAGGCATACTTCGTTTCGTGCTCGGAGCCATCCATGTTATTGAATAGCTCGGCAGCAACTGTCACATCGTCGTTTTCAATATGTGACTCTGTAACCCTGCTGTACTAATTTTATTATGTTGCTGTCACAATATGGTTACAGTTATACCTTTTTTTATCTTGGTGTAGTTCCTCTGATCCTTGCCTTAGCAATTGATTATTTTGTTGGAATGAATCTCCTGGGGACCTCATCGCATTATCGCAATTATCCCGTTAACGGAGTACTAAACTGCTACTCGAGGTAACAAAGTTCCTCAGAGGAAAGTTTAATTTCAAAAATGTCGGTTACCAATAAGAACTATAAAACATGTTGCTTGACTCAAATGCAAAATTTATCTCTGACCCTGCACGCGGCACTACTTTGAAACCTTACCTACCTAGACGTTGTACTTTGGACTACAGTTATTTCTACTCCAGAATCTAAGCGTTGTGATTTCTGTACCCCGTTGAATGTATATCGATCTATATATTGATTTGTTTAGAAAATAGAAACAACTTCTAATATTAATTTGAACTGTCGTCGAATAAATAATTGAATGTGAAGCAAAATGGTTCTCTAAAAACCGTCGATCCATGCTGAATTATACGTCGCAGTTGTTGATATTCCATCACCGTCCTGCAAATTAACCAAACTATCATGATACTTCTTTATGAAAGAAACAAATTCTACCTATATAAAAAATTATAAAATCCAATGAAAAGATATGACCTGTACTTTGTAAGTTATAAAGTATTTCGGCAAAAATTACAGTTTTACCTCTTTGTTGTTGAAACAAAAAGGACCGAAATATTTTTTTATAATAAGAACAGACAGTGACATTTTAATAAAAGGTTGTCGAATGGACTGCTACAAAAGGAGTCCGCTTGCATAAATTAGCATTACACCTCCTATGGGGAACCGAACTGAGCCCCTGAAAGTATTTTTATATTCATATTTTTTTACATTCTTGGATATTTTGATATACATCAATTCAAAAAAGGTGAGCTATATGCCAGGATGTTTCATTTCATTAACTTCCAACCATTTCGGCAAAAACTGCCATTTTACTAGTGAAGGGTAAACATAAAAAATTAAAGCTTGTCTGTAAATTCAATGATTTTCAGTATAAGTATTTCGAAGTAACTTTTAACGATCATCGACAAAATTATAAAAAGTGACCGCCTTGCCCAAATTAACATTACGTTGTATAGGAAAATATAGCTCTTATCCGAAAAAAAGATATTCATCTAATCGGTATCATTTCAATCGCGGCTCACCCTTTCATCAATCAAAAAATCTAGTTTTATCCTGCCGTTTTGGTGGGCTCGATGTGGAGGGGTAAACAAACATATTCGTTGTAGATCGATAGATCGACAAGCTGTATCATAAACAGAACTACTTCTTTCTACGCAGGCCATTGTGCATCGTGTAACTTGTTGATAGTTGCGTTTTGCTTAACTTTTTCCTTTCATTGAGTGTTCCCGTAATTAAAACCTCAAAAATATGTTTTAATAAATGCTTCAATTGTCAATTGCGATTGGATAAGGAGTTTCACATATAAAAGGTCGCGTTTTATTTCCAATTTGCCAGTTATAAGTAGATTCAGTGGAGGCCCTTATTAACAATGTATATATATATAGGTAAAAGGCAATCTTCCTCTTGTGAGATGTGGACCGTTTGTAAAGTGCGCGTTTCATTGTCTTCTGCTCTGAATATTGTTTTGTTTTTACTCTGTTCACTGTCAGTGTGAAAAAATAACTCTGCTGGTTAACTTGTGCCACAATCTCGAAGCTGCAATCCGTTGCGCGGCAGTTGGGGGTAGCTCATCGGCAGCTGAAGGAATCGCACTCTGCAATGACACTGATCAGGTGATGGATTGTCTACAGCTGGAGCTGCGGCAAAGAGAATCCCAACTTTCTGTTCTTGGACCGATTTCGAACAGGCTGGCCAAAGTTAAGGCTCATTACCTGGCCCAGGTAATAAAAACTATAGCGACTAATTATTAACTTTAATGGAAAACCTTTGTATCCCTTAAATTTTTCTATTAAAGATTGCAGAGCAATATGAGACTTTAAAATGAGGTGATTTTGCATTTTATCACGCACGCCGCCAAGAGTAGATCGATGACAGGGCTTGAACCCGCGACTCTTAAGTTGTCCAACTAGAGCTTTTAGTCTTCCAAGCCGCCACGACAATTGGATTTCTATGTGATTGGTATTTTTATTATACCAATCAATAACCCATCCTACCATCTCAATGGGCTGTGTGAGCACAAGTTTTGCAGAGAAACGGTTTAAACAAATATTTCTTATTGTTGACTGTTTTCACCAGCCCTCTCCACTTTTTTTGAAATACAAATCGTTAGATAGTTTTCAAACATACCATATCTTATATCATTCATTGAAATGAATACATAGCTCTATTTTGGGTTTCTTTTTCAGTTCATGGATGATTGGCGCCAACAGGTGCGCTGGCAAACTTCGGAGTTTCCTCGTAGTCAGCAGTTAATAATTTCATCGGAGGGAGCAAACACATTTCAACTTTTACGTGTATTACGCAACTCTGCACAGCTGTCGGCTGATCTAGTGACAGGTTTTTTGGAGAATTTTATCAAACCCTTAACAAACGACCGCTGCACCCTGAACATCACTGAACGTAGTTCGTCAACTTCGATTGATTCGCTTATCGTCGACGGCCGCTCGAATAATAGTATTAAAGGTGCCTATAGTAATAACTTACTGCTTCAGAGAAAATATAGGGCGGAAAATAATTAACTTGTTAATTAATATTTTGATGAAATCTAGTATAAAACATAAACGAAAACAGACACTAACTAAGACACAAGTCATTTCTTTGACAGTCGATCCCAGTCACAATCTACAGACTGCATATTCGTTCCTCAGCGGTACATTGCTACCATTGCTGGACCTGCAGGAGGACAGTCGCGAAGTCAGTGTAGTTTTTCATCTATTGGCTCAGCGCGCAAGACGTGAATCTCCATCTATCCTAGATGAACTAGCAACCTCTCTCCACGTGGATCTTCCTCAAGTAGCGGCCCTATTAAATAGCTATGCCGTTGAAGCAGACGCTTCTAAAGAAGGTACGTCTCGAAATACCTTGCTATCGCAACGAGAATGCTTAGGGCCGAGAGATCCAGGGTGCGTGTCTTTACAAGTATGGGAGTATTGAAGTAGATCTTTGATGCTATTTAAAATCAACTGAGTAATTTACTCTAACCGCATAAGGTGTCATCTTATAGTGACGTATATTTACATACAAGGAAATTTAAAAAGCTACTCGTTTATTATTAGCTTATAACGCTTTTAGAGAAACAATAGATCTACTTGATTAAATAAAGAATAGTATTGTTGATTCATTTTAATTGTTGGCTCTGTTCCAGCTCTTCAGATCATATCCGAAATGGAGGAGATGATGATAACCGCCTTGGAGCCTACGGAAGTAGCTGAAATTTCCAACTTACCGAAAAATCTTTCGCGTCCATACCTAGTCTCCTCATGGATTCCATCATTGACTGAGAGTATTTTGCGCCTTTCGCAAGCGTCTATTTTGTTGCCGGTTTTTTCTCGGCTAACTCGTCACTTCCTCGCTTTGGAAAGCGAAGCTTTATCAGACCCTCTTAAAATTGCCGTTTTTCTAAATAACTGTATTTATATGGCTGATCGATGCTGTCTCCACTCGGCGATATCTTCCAGTCATATCATCATGCTTAAGCAAAAAGGCACATCACTATTTCTTCGCTACGTCAATGAGCACAAAGCTCCCGAAGTTCCTGTATCTTTGCCGGTGCCTTCAGCTCTAAAGACGTTTATTTCCTATATTGACTTCCTAGGAGAGATGGAGTCTGCGTGGAAGCCGAGTTTACCGTTCGACAACTACTCTCGAGCAACTGCGCTTCTTTTCAACACGCTTTCTCTAGGACTAGAAGGTTATGTATTTCAGCAGAAATTTTTGACCGAGTTTGAGGTAGGCCTATTAAAATCGCTTGTGATGCGAGCAATCTCCATGGCAGAGGGATGGTGTCGAACATCAGAAAAGCCTCTCCAGGTGAGTCCGTTCCGACTAACATATTTGTTCCGCCTGCTGCAGATGGGTGCTGAAGATATTGCCCTGGCATGGCGGTCACAGATGAAGCCTATCAAGGCTGTTTTTACTGCACAACAAGTAGCATCTTTAGCGAAGGCACGATTTGCCTTCGAAGAATTTGACAAGTTGCAGGCCGCACTCGTATAAATGTTACGCTTGGCATCAATAAATGTGTTGTAATTGTGTACTCAAGTTTTAGATTATTGCGATAGAATGTAAAAGCAATGATAGGTATTGTTTTTAGATGGTATCATTCATGTCAGTATATATAAACTTAACTGAGTGCTATATATTTGCTGCTGCGTCATTAGGTTTCAGAGGTCAATATTTTTCTAGATACGATTGAATTAAGCCGCGACGAGCGTGGTCGCGAAAATGGCGAAATTATGAATATATACCTCGGTAGCAGTTCGATTAGTATGTACTCATTGTCGGGTATCAACTGTGAAAATAACAACAATTCTAGGGAGACGATTCTTATGATTAATCCCCTTTATTATGTTAAAACTAACTGGAATTGTGTATATATATATAAGCTATGTTACAGGTCGCTGCGAACTCCGGACATCCCCATTCGTACACTCATTCGTATTCTGGGCACCAACTGGCCACTTTTGTTTCAAGCTATTCTAGGCTTAGGTCATGACCATAAACAGTTTTATTACTATAAATTGAATATTACTACCGATGCCCAAAAAGATGAACAACCCCACATACTTGAATTATTAAAACAAGTTGAATATTGTCATACATTAACTGCACCAAGCCCTACACGCCTGATAAACTGGCATGAGTTAACACGACCTACACGATTTTAAATTGACAATAGATTATGGTCGTCTATGCAGCGTGTATGACAACGACGATACTTATTTAATTTATAGAAATTTGACAGTTTCAAGAAAAAGCAATTAAACATTATACAAGATTGTACTAATGCATAAAATAAATGAGCATTTCTAGGAATAAACACTTTTACAGCAAGACTTTTTCTGCATAAAAGAAACACACTTAAGATAGACATTATATCCTTTGCCGTTGGCGGAATGACAGCATTTGTCGGACAGGTTACCGCTAACTACAACGTCTGATGCTTGAGAATGTCTGGATTGTGGTTTTTCTTGTGAAATGTTATTACTATTATGAAACGTTTCACCAAAAGACTAACGAGCAGACTAAATACGCAGTGTATGCTTAAGTTAAATTTGTCGGCGGTGGTTTATTGTCGAATTCAGCAGATAAACGACGTAACATTGTCCAATCTTTTTACTACGATGCCGTGAACGGCCGACGACAGCCATCTGACAAAAACGAAACACCAGATCGATGAGGTGAGCTCTGTGAGTAGTCTTGCCATTATTAGAAATAACGTTTTTGAAGTTGGCAGACCTGACTGGAACTCGCATGAAGCGACTCTCACAACGATACTATGTGAGTTGAGCTACAGCTTCTAGCTCACTATTACAGACTAGCATTTTAACACGTTAAACAAACGAAAGACGAAGTTTATTAATGGCCAGATTGACATGCTGCTTGTGTACCAAACTCAGTATTCTTGACTGCTTATCGGAAATGTATGGACGCCATTTTGACAAACGAGCTGACATTGCTAGCATACATTTCCCCTACAGGACTCCTGATCAAAGATTCAACTTATTCTGAAACGATTAAAATCTTCCCAGGATTAAATCAGGCCAGATGATTCGTAGAGTACGCATTTTTCGACTTTATAGGCCCCTTCGTAAAGCAGTAATTACATGCGCTACCATTCTTTCTACCATGGGCAAGATATTGCTTACGAGTTTGAACATTTAATCAGCAGTCTAAGTCGAGCTACTGTTAAGGTTACCGTATGGTAAGGCGAAGCACATCTGATCTCTAGTGTCGTCGGCGTCCTCTCAGAAGCGTTATAATTGCTATTGGTTGTTGTTTAATGCTAGATACGCTACATAAATTTGTCATATAATTGATCTCGTTGTCTCCAACCGATGAGTTTGTATACCTACACATACAGTATGGATCTTAAATCCGTAGCAACTAGGTAGATAGTCAGTAGTTCGATTGTTGCCTGAAATGATTAGTGCCTGATAGCTTGTAAGTTACGCTACTCATCTGAATAATCATAACTTAGACAGGTTGCAGACGGCGATCGATGGGCTGACCGTATTCAGGTAATATGGCAATAACGGTATGTAGCTGGTATTTGCGATGTGCCGGATGTGCGAGTATGGTTAATGGAAACAATGGCCTTCACAAGCCAAACAAAGGGAATTATAATAGTCTTTATGGACCCGTTATCAAAGCGCATGCTCTCCCTTTTCAACGAAATGAAATAGGTTACATCAAGATAGCATTTAGTTAACATGGCAGCAGTCGCTGTACTGCACTTATTTCGAGGCATTTGGCAAATCCCATGCCTGTGAAATGTACAGCATAGATCGAAGTTATATTCTACCTTAATATTTCTTCTAAGCACGCGATACGCGGACATTTTTGATGTGCTTACCTTTTTTATAATATCCAAAACTGCACAAAAATTAAAGCCAACATAAAGCCGTTAGCGAAATCCAAGCTAGTTCCTGGTGGTCTTCAAGCGCAGGAGCTTGGCGTACAGCCATAGTTGCACAAAAAGCACTGAAACTATCCATTGCGGATAGTAAATAAATACGGATAAACAATGCACTATATAGAAACCATGTTAAATTCGCATGAGGATCATCGAGACGGACGGACGGGCGGACGGAGAACGAAAACCAGCAAAAATATATTGTTCGTTATGGAGCACACTAGGCTTGGCCAGAGAAGATGTATATTGAAATCCTTCAGCACTGGCGGAGAATGAGGTACACGATTCCATCCATATAAGGAAGCTTTCGATGCTTCGAGTACAGCGACAAACAGCATTTGATCCGTCGGAAACTGGCCGTGATTTTCGTAGCGAATGGCGTACGTAAGTTCGCAGACGACAATGACGAGCACAAATGATTGGTTTAAGACTGACTGTTATATCATAGATAAAGATCATAGATAAAGCGATCTTCGTAGACTATCCGGATCGACAAAGGCTGCTGCTTTGTAAGTCCGAGAAGATGGGGAACCCACATGTAAAAGTAGTACGATTTTTTTGGCCATTACGTTTTTCGCCGCCCCTAACACAGCGATCATGATGAGCTATTTATGCGCAACATCTTTGGGGCTGGGGTCTACACGACACGATGTTCTGGGCGATAATACCATTGAGCTATTTCTGTGGGGGGCGAGTTCTGTCTTGATGTGGTGCTATCTGTCCAGTGTCCTTCATATAAAACGAAGTACTCAACTCTTGCCAAAGCAGGAGAAGAAAGGAAGTCGGTAGATTTTCTTTGTTGCCCGTAGCCACCATCAGTGCACGCTTTGCATTATCGACCTGGGTTGCTACCACAATGTTTTTGCAGGAACGTTGAGACAAACAAAACCCACCAAGCACACAGACAAAAAAAATATCTATATATATATTAAGCTTAATTTGTCATGTCCACTTGTTGTCTTTCCATATGACTTTCAGATTAAAAAAAAATATTGTCATAGTAATTATAGTATTGTCCTGAATTAGCGAGGATATTCAATAATTGTTAGCTGTTCATATCCGTGCACTGCCAGCTCACACAACTGATCTATCTATGTTATTATGGTTAGTGTGTATGCCCAGTCAGCAAAAGACAGCGGACCGTGCGAACAGAAAAAATGTATGCAGTTCAATTTAAGCGTTAATAAAATAGAACTCTTATAATATGTCCGTCTTATTTTCGCGTGGGCTCAAATTAATCGACATTTGATTTACCATAAAGAGCACCGTCAGTTTAGGCACTCACGCAGGACTGCGTGTACGTGCAGATGTTCACAAGAAGCCATTTCAGCTCGGTATCTTCCCCTTAGATAATACAAAAAACTAACTTCACTCATAGACGCTGTATACATAACACAAATGTAGGGTAGCGTATTTCTTTTAGCTTAATCCTTGCAATTGCCTTACATGCTGCAGCGACCTCGTTCTTTTGTAGACTTCAAAAAGACTTATCATGTTATTATAGAACACCTCGAATTCGTGAAGTACGGTTATTTAAGTTAAGGACGAAATTTTCCTACTAGAAAAGTTGGCGTTTCAAACCAAATTGAGCTAAAAAGGGCAAGTTACCCTGCATTGACGCATGTGGCCGGAGCACTTTTCAACTTCCTCATGGCCGCCTTCATGCTTATTCATCTCTCAGCATAGTTTCCTCTTAAGTCTGTCTATATGCCTTTCCTCATGACTCTCCCCCCGTTCGTTACAAACGTGATGGGCTTCCGATTCGATAAAAATTTCTAAGATCTGAGTGAAGCATTAAGCTCGAGGAGGCCGGAAACTGTTCGCTGGGGGTACAGATCTAATGAGTACGATGTAATCAACTCGAATTCAAATTTATAAATTATTACCATGGGGATCACTGTAGTGCGAAACAGTGCGTTGTTTCGCTTGATTTGCCCTTTCTCAAATGTTGTTGCCTTAAGATTGTCAAGTAACGATACGCGATGCGTCTTGGTTATGAACTTTATGTTTTCAACGTAGTCGATTAACGCAGCTCCATGATTACCCCCGAAGGAACAGTTGCTTTCACTTTCTTGGCTTATAGAACAGCTCTGTCTTGGTTTAAGAACGGTAGTCGTACATTCACGTTTCGCATGTAGTTATCAATCGGGGTCAGAAATTCAATTCATTTAAACTGCTTCAACAGGGCATTAAAACAGAAAATACCTATTCAGATGCCGCTACGGCTTCCATGCACGTACCAGTCAATATCTGTTCAAGATGCCCACAATCTTTGCTGTTTGGTGAACTTTTTCAATTTTATCCACAGTGAATGCAGTTTCTAGCCGTCCTATACGTTTGTCAAGCAAGATGCTACCGCGTTTTAATTCAGCTGCCCAAAATTTCAAGTAAGTTACATAGGCTCGTTACTTTTTACATGTAAACGTTTAACGACGACTTAGTAATAATTTTTTATCATTTTTACAGAAGCACTAACCATTATTAGCTCTATATGTAGTTACTATTTAACAGTGGTTAAATAGCTGGGTGGCCAACATCGGCAAAATGTTCACGAGTATTATTCAACGCATTACATTGTTGATGACAGATACCTTTTTATACTTAAGTCGGGAACTTTTTAGACTAGCTCTGCATACATGCATATTAGGATAGCCACTATCAAATGCGAGATAGTGAACCCTAGTTTTTTAAATTTTTTTCCATGGACATAGTTCTTTTAATCAAAATATACGCCACTATAAATTTATTTTGTTTTTATTCTACAAATTTGTGGTAGAAGAGTTTATCAAGTCGCGCAGGTGTATATTGAAATATAAATAATTCTTTCATTAAGTCGCCGGGATTTTGAAGAGATACTTATAGAGAAACCGCTTTGTAAATAAGGTTAGGTTGGCTAGGAACTGCGGCTGCAGCCTTTGTGCTAGCAAAAACTTGACTCTCGAAGGGTGAGGTCGAGGCATTGTCATTTAATATGTCTGGTTTAGTTCTGCTAAACAATCCTGGTTAGTCAATGTAGTCTGTCTATCTTTTAGCTATTGAAAGTAAATTTTAGCTATAACCGACGACGTAGGGCTCGTAAAGTACACAGTAAACAAAATTTCATACTAATCATAGGAGCCCCTTCTATAATCATATCTAACGCACATGATACATTTCCATGCCTGCATGTTCTCACAGTTACGAACTATTCCATACGATATTTGCAAGTCCATCCGTAATATATATATATATATATATATATATCTGTAATAATAACATATTTATCATGTGTTTTTATGCAAATAATGTTTTTAATAATAAATAACAATAAGGAATCAATAGTAACGCTTAAAAAGAGCGATACATATACACATTCTGTTAAGGAATACATAAAACATCCGTGCCATGACCAAAATGATGCAAATGACCGCATCTGCAGTAACAGTTCAACCGGAGTTGTTCAAATCGGCAGGCCTACCGACTCCTACTTCTTAGGATATTAACCATAATTAGCGTTGAACAAAAAAAAACGTTTTATAAAAGTGTAATTATGTGAATATATATGAAATGAATAAAATCAATGAATGGATTCAACTGGAATCATCTGGGTTGTGTTGGGGTGCTTATGGTGGACGCTTCAAGAACGCGTTTGGCACGATTTTGTCCGGCTCGTTATTTTCAGCTACTAGATATGTAGATATTTACACATGATTCTACGTACGATTCTATTAGAATTGTTTTTGGAGGGATTCTCAACTATTGATCTAATAATTGAAAAGGTTCTTATGCTCTATATTTCATGTCAAATATGACTAAACATGGATCGTAAGCTAGAAATTGATATCATTATCATTGTCGGCAACAAACTCATTACCACTACGGATAATGACTCATATGTTTTTGACTCAACAGGTTCTTCGTATGTTCATGTTGGCCGAGATCGCTAAATTTGCGACAAATTGGTTATGCTTTTTCTGCAGTGCATAACTGAGCAGAAAGGCAGGTGTCGCCAACAAAATGGTGCGAGTGGATTATCAGACTACTGGAGAAAATCTAGTGCTACCGATTCTCGGCGCTCCACCCATCTCCACCTCATTTAGGCATAGAGATCTGCTTGCTCCCTCGCCACACGGTCGCAGACTGCTAACCGATGATTTGGTAAAACAACTGGTTGGTCAGTTGACCCCCCGGTCACGAACCCATAATATCTGTTGCGTGCGTGTGTGTGCGTGCGTGCGTGCGTGCATGCATGCATGCGTGCGTGCGTTGTATTAACGTCCGTGTTGTCACCGTCATTGAACGTCAGCTAAAACATGTCCCTTCAGCAACGGGATGAAGAGGGCGAGGGCAGTCGGAAGAGGGAGAGAGGCTGAGAGACAATGGCTAACAGCCAGAGCCAGATTGGCTAAACTGTGGCGCCCTCTGCAAGTCCTTGGAGAAAGAAAGGAAGCCAAGGATGAAAGTAGGGGAGGGTTGATTGCGGGCCCTGGTTGTAGGGGCCTCTGATGAGTAGCTGCTGCAGGCAGCTGCATCCGGGAGCTCACAAGATGGCTCCCAACTAAGCACACAGAATGAGTGGCTAACTGCTGGCTGCTCGCCTAAAGCTTTCAAGCATTCGTCATCGCTAAACCGCCACCTGCTTTTCACCCTCACTCCGCTAAGAAAGGTAGGGAAAAAGGACGGAAATCCTCCACCCTGAGGAGTTCGCACAAAACACATTCTACTCTGGTTATCTTTCGTTCTGGCCAAGTGCGTGTGAAGCTGTGAGTGCCTCAATGTCAGCTGGCTTCGGTATACCAAAATGGTTGTTAGCAAGTGAGTCAGTTGTAATCACAGTAAGAAGCAACAGGGACTGTATTATACGTAGCGGTGGAACATACGATCACAAAATGGCAATTTTTTCCTGTCGTGCCTTTTGCTCACGCCTCTCCGACGTTTAGTGACTGTTACTATTACTGTAAAGGATCACCAGTTTCGATTATCCCTGGTAGGTTAGGCGTTCGATGGGACATTAGACAAAAGAGGGAAAACCTGTGCGCTTCTACTTCATGTGATTGATTTGTCGCTCTATTTGTAGCTATGTATTGTCAATACCGTGTTTATTCTAATTTGAATAAATTGCTCAAATTGTTTACAGCGCTGCTTTCAGAACGAAGCATGGGCAGGAAATATCCAACGAGAAGCGGTAGCCGCGGCGACCTCACGAAGGTTAGCGTCCCGTGCGCGACCGAGGTCCCCTTAATTCACCGACCCTTGTCGAATGCTTGGAGGCGCCCAAGTTGAAACTGGGTGATTAGTAAAAAGCATACAAAGAAGAAAACATACGAGGGAGAGCGCTGTTTTTAGTGTTCATTGTGTCTGCAAAGCAAACCTCGTAAATTGCTCGACCGTCCTGCTCCGTCCGCTCTCACTTACGACACCCCCATCACAACTATTCTATTAGCATTACTCTAGTCATTATTGAAGACGAAGAGATATAGAAAAACGTTCCGTACCATAGCGTACGTAGTCCAAGTACTTTATATTACATGTTAGCTATCCTAATATAGTAATAATAATCATAAGCTAGTTGCTCCGTTAATTGTTTGGTAATATTAATTGATTAACTCGCTAATTGATTAATAAAGTAAACAATTAATGCCGATTACTAGTTGTGAGACTCAGTCTAGTGCCGACAAGGAGGGCGGGCAAACGTGTGGCCCTCTTTCTCTTTCTCTATTATGAGCAACAACTCTAACATGCAGCCAGACAGAAGGTAGAGGAAGAAAAAGACAGAAAGACAACGATCATGAACTGCGAACAAGAAGCAAATGCACACGTCATTTATTGGCTTCACATCGAACTTCGTCACTAGTTCATCACCGAAGAAGATGTAGCACAGCAAACAAGCGATGTAAAAGAGGGCCGCTGCTATCAGTTCTGCTACCATTAACGCAACCATATGATTCGTGCGTAAAGATGTTAGCACGTAAACAGAGCGTCAAAGGAGGTACCGAGCCCATCCTCGCGGACTACGGGCCCGATGAGAGTTTCAACGAGTCGGCGGACATCGATTGGGTCAATAAGGTTGGTTCATGTTTGCTCCTTCGCTCTTGTTGTATACGATGATGATCAATTATAGTTGCCGTGTACTAAATTAAATTACACAGGCTATATGCTTAGTGTCAAGGGACTTATCCTGTGCGTCAAATACCTGCCAATCAAACCTATATGTTCCACTAGTTCGCCTTCTTTCCCTTCGTATTTTCTCTATGTTCTCAATCGTAAAAATGCAGCGATAGGATCGGGATTAGATGGCCGGAGACCGGCTGCCGGCCGATCCGATACGGAAGACAGTGAGCCCATTTAATGCTAGCCGCTGCGGCGTCTCTTGAAGGGGTTCGTAACGGTGATACATCGCCACGCACGTCACTATCGCTTATACTCTATTGGCGTGTTTGTTTTGCCTCTGTGAATAACTGATGTGGCCGTTCAGGGCTATAAGCAATAAAGCTTCGCTTTCACCTTCTAGTGGCCTCGTTCGCATTTGAAGCACCACACACACAAGTTCGATACGCCCTCGAGCCAGCTCGGCGCTTAGAGCTGACGGTTGTGCAGACAGAACAAAAATACGGACGAAATTTGTTCAAGAAATATATCCAGATCCTAGAGAGCGTGCTTATGCGCTCGGTCGTCCATTTGATGCCACCAATTTTGTCGGAGCTCCGTTAGGACGACTCGAGGCGAATATATAGAGACAACAGACCCGTTGACCGTGGCATCCCACTGTCCTCTATAGTCCGACTCGATTCTAAATAAATAACGTGGTACCGTGTAACAGCTCAAAGTCTTTTCGCTCCTCGCGGCTCGGGACCAGTTGGCTGCGAGTTATGGAAGTGACAAATAATTATTTGTTCGTCTGTAAATTAAATGGCATACTGAGCTTGACATTACATGTATTGCTTTCGTTTCACTCTTGAGGCGATTTAGTAGCGGTATTATTGGTAGGTAGCGAAGTACTGTATTTGCTTGGATACAAAGGCCTTCCCACCTGGACCTGCCGCCGGTGGACGTTAGGATCGTTGCTATTTGAGGAAGTTAGGTGAGCGAAGCCTTTGGGCATCACCCCGAAACAAACCGCAAGAAAAAGCATGAACATGGATCCGGGCCTTGGCAGCTGTCTTGACTCGTTAGCTTGACGTGCCGTTCGCCTAACGCTTTCTGATACTAGATTATACATTTAGAAAATTCTTCAAGGTACTTCTTCTGCAGGCACGCCAATGCGCCTTCTGAGAAACCGTCTTCGAAAAATTCGCATACGAGCCAATTTACAAAAGCTTAACTTTTGAATAGCGCCGTTGGTTGCCATCGCCGAAAAGACGGAAAGCATCGAGGCTTACCGAGGCTTATGTAGATAGTAGTCATGATGCAATTAGCCGGTAGATTAATACATTTATGCTAGTAACAGTGTTCTATAGAAATGAGAAACGTTCTTTAATGTCCATGTAGATACCTCGGCTGAAACCTTGTTTAGAGGCGCCCAACGCTGTCGAGTAGGCCGAGCTATATGGTAACAAAAAACCCTAGAATGAAGACTTATGCCCAAATAGCATGATTGCTGTAGAAAGGTTCAACCCACAAATCGATCCAAATATATATGCCTATATAGAGCAGTAGTCACCATCCCCTAAGCTATGTGGCAAAAACCTATGTGGCTTATTCAGAGATGCCGCCGCTAGTTTTCTGCTACAAAGCGCAGGCAGATGCATGTACTTCAGTCATTTCATATTATACTCCCTTTTCATCAGCCCCTGGTGCAACGGGACGCAGCTACTGATTTATTGCAGCGATATTGCAAGAAAGATTAGTGCTATCTTGAAGCGCTCCTAGTTTGGTACCTTTAACACAGGAAGGAACTTCCATATTGCTAGAAGCCAACTCCGAACGTCCAGTCATTTTTGCAACAGTAATATTGGGAAACGTTTTAGTGATAGCAACAGCGGATCATTGCTATATCTTTGCTAGAATCTTGAATTGAAACTTTCCTCCCGGCCACCTCCCGGCCCGGCCTAATGCGGCATAGTACTACATGCATAGCAGTGCCTGACTGGATCTAGTGGTAGGCCATGAAGACACGACAATTGCACACTTGAACCAAAGAGGACGGCGACAATATCAGCTTACTGACTAAAGCCATTGAAAGCTATTTGTAATTGTTTTTTTTTTCTTTTTTTTGTTTCGCTTCTGGGATGTACTGCTCTGCGCCTTTGATGCTCCTCTGAATCACTTTTAGGTGTGGGTTCGACGTATTCTGCGTTTGTGTGCATTGCTATGCCTAATCTCAGTAAGCTTGAACACAACGAAGACGTTCGAGAAGTTTCCATCGCTTGTCTGGATCACGTTCGGGTATGATATATTTGCGACGCTGCTGTTCTCGTCAGAGGTGATTGCCAAGATCCGCATTAAGGGACTTATGATCAGCCACGCGCCGGTAGGTACAACATAGAAACAGGTTGCTGCATATGAGTGGTAGCATTGTGCTTCCTTTTGACTTCTAGTCGTTCTTGCTGTGTGTTTGATACTGTTCAAAGTCGAGATACTATACTGGATAAATAGACTAACATTGAAAAGCCAGGCAATTCCATGTGACTTTACCTAAGATCCCAATGGAAATTCTCGGTGCATTTTGCACTATCAGTACACATTAGTATATCATTTGAAATAAGGAAAAGTCAAAAATGGCAAACACTTTATTTATTGTCTAGACATGCATTTCTTTATGAAAACAATACGAAAGGTTACCTTTAGAACTTGTAAAAAAAAAAAAAGAAAACCAAAAAAACACCTGTACTGCTGTTGTTATGACGATTGTTTATGACATGCCGCGTCTTTTTTCCAACATATTTAGTGAGCGAAGGATAATCTATAGTTAAAGCGGCCACATAAAAGAGTCATTTTAGACAGTTGAGATTGGTGTCGATAGGATACTCTGCATCAGCCCCGTGACATGAACAAGCTTGTCGCCGATCCTCTGACGAAACGCTAAAGTACAGTAAACCAGGTCATTACAGAAAAAAAAAAAAACTCAGCGTTAGTACTAGTCAAAACAACAAAACGTCAACAACCATTGCCAATATAACTGTGGTTTATGCAATCGGTATGTTTAGCCTATTTGTACGTAACGTTCAGAGCACGACTCGTCTACACGGTAAGGTTGAAGCAGACCCAACGAACCCTTGCATATCTAGAGTGTAGGCCACCTTTTTCGCTGCGATCTGAGAGAAAGAACTACCAAGCTAGACTTCATAAGAACGCTTCTTATCCCTGGCTAAGCGTATAGCCAACGATTTGCATTGAAACCATCATTTCATGAAACGAGGATACGAGCCTCAATGTAAACATTGAGGGCACATAAAATGAAAGCATGGTGGTGAACCAGCACAGCTCACACTTGATTCAAATATTTACTCGAATTATATATTTAGCATAGCTGGACTAAGGTTTATCGAGCGTGGGCAATGAGGTCACCGCGGTTCATTAACTCGTGTAGCCGGACTCGCTAACAAAGACTTGTTATATTCTTGAGTAACGATCCGGTGCAGTCCTCTTTATTCAGAGTATTATGCCAGTCTGTAGCTTAGCCGTCTGGTGGTAAAAGAGTGGCTGTAATGTATAAATTAGATAAGCGAAAAATATAGTGTGCATTTTATACAATTATTTGCACTAAGAGGCACAGTCAGCGTCTATTGACTTCAGAAAAGCGATGTTTTCACCTTAAAACTTCAACACGTTACCTGACTCACTATTTTCTACCCAAATTCTCTGTAAGACTTCCATAGTTTCGATCAAGAAATGATCCCAATTTTCATATGTCTTGATGCAACCTGGTTCAATTTTCTTGGTCCTAATGCAAAGTCCTTCTTGTTGCAAGGAAGGGCTTTGATCCAGGCGTCCTATACGATTCTTCTGCCTTTGAATTAAAGGAATGGACGCTTTGGATGCGGACGTTCGCAGAGTTATTCTTTTTTTTAGCCTTAATAAATAAAGCTGAGGCTACTACATGCGCTGATAAAATTGTATGGATGACGTGCGTCCACTAACATCCTTCGTCTTTTTGTCTGTTGTTTTGCGAATATTCAATAATGATATAATGACTTTAGTACCGTTTTGCCCATATGGGGCTGGAATATGAAAAATAGCGTTTCTTCAAATGCCCCTTTTTATCTCTTTATCACTTCTCCACATTTATAGCCTATATGCGCTAAAATTATATATCTGCCCTATGAGCCTATTGTTACTTAATTGCGCAATGAAGGGAATTTTACTTTGGGTTCAAGTCGGAAGTATAGATGTTTCTGGTACACTTTCAATGCCAAGTCTATTGCGTTTTTGGCCGAAGTCGAAAAGCTGCCGGAGTTATCTGAACTATTCGAGTCGAGTCCGGTGTAGAGTTCATACCTGAGAGGTCCCGCAGTGTCAAAGGCGCTCTAGCAAGTTTAACCGTTAACATTTTTAAACTGGAGCACGCATCCTGCTAGGGTCGGCCATCCCACATCGATGGAAGCCGCCTGAAGGGAATTTTTAAGGGAGACGGCCGTCAAATGGTTCGTGGAGAATCACGAAACGCAGTGTCTTTAGGTGGATACAAAGCTACGAAGGGGAACAGCTAGCTTTAGGAGATATGCTAAGCCAGATCTTTATCTTGCATTTGATTGAAAGGCTACGTAGTATATATCGCTTTGTCCAATCATTGACGAAGGAAATCCATAAGTGCATTTCTCAACTGAATAAGTCACAAATATTGGTTAACCCTGTTCTTCAACACCCGATCTGAGAATTTCTGGTAAAACGAAATAACTAAATAGGTTAAGGGATGGAAGAAGGTCACCGAAAGTGACAATAAATAGATAGTACATTTTTCGTACTAGGTTTCGAGTGAAACCCTGCGTTTTTTGTTTAGTGATAGAACCTCTGTTGTACTATTACGCATTTGTTTTCGTTTCAATCTTCTCCTATCTCTCAGCCTATTTATTCATTCCACCTGGTCAGAAATTTTCAAGGCTGATGATGAGATTTTTCTCGATCAAATGTCTTATTCCAAATTTTATTCGTCACTGACTGCAAAATGTGGTCTTTCCACCTAAGCTCCTTCAAAACCGTTTTACGATATCCACCGTATGCACTCTGTCATTGTCGTGGGAAATAATGACTTTAGCATGTCTATGGGAACGTTTATGATAATGACAGCCCGTAGTAGCGTGGTGGGTAACGTAATTGCTTGTTCATCTTAGGGACACATCGTAGCCCAGGATCGAACCCGGACGTTGACACACTTCGTTTCGTGCTGGGAGCGAGCCGTCTAATAAAATGCCCTCCCGTACGTAAAACTCAAAACATAGATGCCATGCTTACTTGAGGCAATTAGACCATCCCTTGTCGACCGTCTTGCCCTTCCCAAACATTTCTGTATGTATAAAAGTCTTCCAGCCCCATTTAACGCAAATTAAGTTCTTTCTTTTGAATGAAGATTTGGCTCAACACTGGCCTTCGGCCCATTTCTTTGGTTGCTTCATACTGACGTACAGATACCGACTTCTCGTCATCCGTGACAATCCTGTATAGAAATCAATCATCATGGCTGCCCGGTGCCGGGCGAGATGCTACGGTGGTTCCTTATGTCGTTCATTTAGTTTATAGCGTGCCTACGTTCGTGTTATTATTCGTGTTAAGATGACTATGAAATGAATAAAAAATGGCTAAATAGTAGTCCCGTGAGTGCGATTCATTCTTCAACAAAAATACCTTGGCCTGCTGACCGAGAGCCTTGTAACCTCATCAAAAACGAGACAAAGTAGGTATCGAAAATACACTTTTTTTTACTAAACAAATCCATATTTCAAGCACATTTGGATTCGAGATAAGGTTTTGTTCACTGCGCACTTAAACTGGCTTTTAGAGAAAAAGAAAGAGCTTTGTATCAAGAGTATATAGAGCAAAACAAGTAGTGGAATAGGGAACATTTTAAGAAAACCGTCATCAGATAATCATTAATAAAATAAATACATTTTTTTACCGGAATCGTTATGCGAAAACACCGCAATCAGGTATGTTTTAATTCAGTAATTAGGCATAATTACGAAAATTTATAATGCGCTTTACATTTCAGACGATTATTATCATTCAATACGTTTTAGTTCGCTTCAGATAAAAATGCTCAGGTATACAGAAGTAACAGATAGAACTAAAACACAACAATATTCAATATTGAGGTGCATGCTTCTACTGCTACTACCTGATGAAGACCTTAATATCCTCGTTACATTTAGGACATTGGGAAGAAAATCAGTAAAATATCATTGACGAAACAATTTCAGCCTATGCTTGAACGTAAACAGTGTCTAGTAAAGATTACCTATTAGCAAGAAAGATGCCTATGGACGACGTTTAACGAGCAAGACAAGCACACCTTATCATTCAAAGCAATGATGCTATAACACATTGGACTATATGGAACAAAATCCCTAACGAGATGAGCTATTAGATGCTCCTCTAAAAACATTACACGAGCACAGTTATAAAAAAGATCGTGGGGTTAGTAGGAAATTGTGTGGGGGTGGACGGCCGAAACGATCAGCTAAATTAATATCAAGGGTTTTACCGTAACTTGCTAGAGTTCAAACGAAGGTTAAGCCTAAAAAGTGCCTATTTACAGCTGTTTTGAATGAATAACTATCTCAAGATATATCCTGATGACACTAATGGAGAACGTATTCTAATGTTCAGCTGAGAATGATTCAAGTAAGTGTGTCTCTCAAAATAAATAGACTGAATCTAGAAATATAGCGTATAGATCTGGTGATTACTGTTGAACTATACCGGCACGATGATACCGGAATAGGCTCGGTAAAATACAAGCCAAAATTCTTGACTTCTCTAAGAATTGCCAAAAGGGATTATCGAAGATGCGTGCTTCGGTCGTAATCTATCCGGCTGACTAACAATTTGCTGTCATAAAGCACCATGCTTAAGAAGAAGATAACCGAAAGATTTGGTTGCTTACACGTCTCTTGTGTCACGCATAGCAAACCTGACCTAGATCTAACCAAGAGACCCGATGCTATGGAAGAAAGCTTTACTCATTGAAGATACCCGAATATGGCATTGACGAAATCGATAACAAGATACAAACGCTAATACAGCATGGAGGCCTCAGGACAAGGGATATCGTCGGCGAAATAACAATGATTTAAATTTCTACTGTTAGGGTCCGTATCTCACAGACCGAATAAAAATACCTTGACATAAATATGCTTGTTGGATTTACCTGGGTATTGTTTATTATCTACAAGTAGCAACCTACCTCACTAATCGATCCGGAAGGCCAAATAACTTTGAATCGATTGCGCTATGTGTTCTTGTTTTGTGTGTTTTATCCATCACAGGGCGATACGGCCTATCTACGCGACCGGTGGTGTCAATTCGATGCCACGATGGCCTTTTTTCTCTGGGTGTCTGTGTTGTTACAGTGCTTCGAAGTTACATCTCTCGTGGAGCCTTCCTACTTTTCGATGATTCGAGCCCCCAGACCACTCATAATGATACGTTTCATTCGCGTTTTTCTTAAGTTCTCCATGCCCAAGTCAAGAATCAACCAAATCTTCAAGTAAGTAACGAATAACAATTGCAAAACTTTCACCGCCATGTTCCCAGAAGCATTAAGCCTGAACGCTTCTTTCCTCCAACTAATTTAGTTTAGGGTTATTATATGCGTCTGGAAGCTTATAGAGACAAACGAAATCGGAATCGCTTCCGAGCTTGTTACAGATGTTCGATAATAAGCCTAACGGTACATATTATTGACCTTATTTTGCAGACGTTCAAGCCAGCAAATCTACAACGTTACTCTCTTCTTCTTATTCTTTATGTCACTATACGGACTGCTCGGGGTGCAGTTCTTTGGGCGTATGGCGGCACACTGCGTTCGTAACGGGACTGATCCTCGACGTGTAACCCTAGACGATCTCGCCATGCCCGACCATTACTGTTCAAACAACCCCGACGCAGGCTACAGTTGCCCGCACGGACTCGTTTGTATGGAACTTGAACTACCGAAATCAATCGCCGGATTTGCCGGTTTCGATGACTTCGCGCACAGCTTCTTCACCGTCTATCAAGCGGCTTCGCCCGAAGGTTGGGCACTGCTGATGTATCAAGCAGTAGATTCGTTACCGGCATGGCGAGCTACGTTCTACTTTACAACGATGATCTTTTTCTTAGCATGGCTTGTGAAAAACGTCTTCATCGCGGTCATTACGGAAACATTCAATGAGATTCGTGTGCAATTCCAGCAGATGTGGGGCGAGCGTGTGCAAATACACACGGATACGACCGTGCAGGTGGGCAAGCCTTTGTAACCTTGTCTTCCAGATAATATTTTCATTCCTTAGTTGTGTGATATTTTTCAGCTCTAGAAAATGACAATAGAGCTATTATGAATGGATGCGGATGGAAAGTTGGCGCAATTTTCTTCTACGCTATTGTCGTCCGCGATCTGTAGCGCTAGTTCTATGAGATAGTGTCATGTTGCTCGATCTTGCACTTCGGTTAATTGAGGTGCTTTTGCTCGTTTGAAGGTTTTACGCGGTGATGACAGCGGCTGGAAGCTGGTCACTGTGAATGAGGGCGCCGGCGCTGGGGCCGCGCCTCGTTGCCTACAGCGACTCATCCACTCAGCAGCATTTCAAATAATAGTTATGCTGATCAATCTGGCTAACGCGTTTGTAGCGGCTTCGGTACGTTTTGTCCACGATGGCCGACCGCGGGAAGAGTTTTTTACCACCTACTACTACGCGGAGATAGGTGAATGCACATAGACAAACAGGGCCTATATTAAACATGTTCAGGCTCTAGAGGAGCCTAAAGAGCATCTTTTTAGCCGCTTCATTAACATTCATAGCACACACCTACTTAACGAATCGATACTGGTGTTAGCTGGCACCCGTGTACACGTTTGGTATCTTTACTTCTACAAATGCTTGCGAATTTATGTTTTGAGTGACTTTATTGTGAATGCAACTAAAGCTATGACACTTCATCGATTACACGAGCGTGCACAGAGGTTTTCAATTTTGTGGCCACTTTTTGCAAAAATTATAATGTCGATTTTATACGTAAATGAGTAGTAATGTAATAACGCATACCATGTTTACATGGCCAGGTGGGTAACGAGTTTAGGCCGATCTGTGCGCCAATCATCCAAGTACCTAAACATACGCATGTTAGAAATCCATCATCTTAAACAGGCCGAAATTTACCGGCAGGTTGGATAAACTCTTTTTAATTTCTTGGAGTAAAGTAAACTCTTTCACGAATACGGGACATTTTAAGATATCACCTTATCTCACACAGCACCTTCATATTAAAGATCGCACCCACGGTTCATTTGTCGTCACTTTCAGGTTTCACCCTCTTCTTTGACCTCGAAGTTTTGATGAAGATATGGTGTTTGGGTTTTAAGGGATACATCAAGCGCTCTTTGCATAAATTAGAATTTCTGCTAGCAATAGGGACTACCATCCACATCATTCCGCAATTCTTCGCTTCAGAGCTTACCTATTTTCAAGTAAGTTCACCCTCCTTCACGAACTCCATCGGTCCGAATCGAGTTACGTTGACTTTTATCCACGATATTCGCTGCATACAAATTTATTTGCTCTTGATTGTTTAAGTAAATAGTTTTTGGAAGTAGGTTTAGCTAGAGTAAAAAAAGGTGAAACAAGGTAAGACAGGTGTCGAAAATGCAGTTCCCTTTCTCTAGGAATATCGATTTTAGAGCCTGAATTCGGGCTAAAGTTTTGCATGTTGCGCAATCAAATTAGCTCTTAGAGGGGATAGAGCTCTTTCGAAGGGTATATAGGAGAAAACAAACAGTAGAAATGTAGGGAAAATTGAGATATTTAAAGAACAGTTTTTTTTTTTTTAAATCGCGAATTGTTAGGTGCAAAAAAGCGCTAAAGCCTAAGCTTCAACCTAATAGTTAGGCGTGCTCAGGAAAATTTATGGCACGGCCAATATTCCAGACAGTCCTATAATTCAATACTTTTTACTTTGAACGACAAACGTTCTGTATATCCAGAATGAACAAGTTAAGTTTAAACAGCAATATTCTATATTGAAGTGGTTGAACTTTTGTATACTTTAAGTACGTTTATGTGTTTAGGCCATTAAAAGGAAGGTCGGTAGATCGACAAATAATAACACACGTTTGGTTCAATCCATGCCTAAACGCAGAAGGTGTTTAGTAAAGATAACGCATGCAAGAAAAACGTTTATTGAGCACGAAAAACACACGCTATGATCTGAGATTGCTGGCAGTGATGCGATAACATAGCAAATTAATTTCGTAGAAAAGACCAAGAATAATTAAACGCTTATCTTTGGAACTTCAACAAAACTTGAACTGATCTGATGAAATGGAAAAAAGGCTAGGTTGTAGGCTTCGACATAATAACGGTTCAATGAAACCATCCAATGCAATTTCTTACAGGTACTTCGAATCGTGCGCTTGATCAAGGCATCTCCCGTATTGGAAGATTTCGTCTATAAGATATTCGGGCCAGGAAAGAAGCTCGGCTCGCTGATTATTTTCACTATGTGCCTGTTGCTCATCACCAGTGCCATTTCGATGCAGTTGTTCTGCTGCCTGAAGAACTTCTCCAAGTTTGAGACCTTCCCCGAAGCCTTCATGAGCATGTTTCAGATCCTTACCCAAGAAGGTTGGGTCGAGGTGATGAATGAGACCATGCTCCGCACCTCTTCTACCATCGGGCCGATTGTCGCCGTCTATTTTATACTGTACCATCTTTTCGTATCGCTGGTAAGTCTCTGTTTGGCTTATCTACGTGCCTATGTGCGTGTATGCATGTTTTGGCTAAGCACAACACGAGCGACCACGTATGTTTCTACCTTTTTAAAGTAGCTATTACTATAAAGAATTATAAAGTAGAACTACTACTTATTATTACTATTCGCATAACAAATAAGCATCCTTTACCTCTTGAAAATTGAATAATTAGAAAAGTCATACCAAAATCAGCTTGCGCAAGTAGGTTACGCGGAGATCGGTTCAAGCTCAAGGACCCACTCTCATTATTGATTGCAGATTGTATTGAGTCTTTTTGTCGCGGTTATTTTGGATAATTTGGAGTTGGATGAGGACATTAAAAAGTTGAAACAACTAAAAGCTCGAGAGCAGAGTGCTGGAATCACCGAAGGACTGCCAATTCGACTAAGGTAGGGATTTAACGTACCTGTACCTGGCGAACGGAGTAAGATGCAATATATCGACATCTTCTTAAATGTTACTTTGATACAGTTGTCATTATCGATTGGGTACATCTTCGAGTCGTACGTTTGTTTTATGTTTTGGACGACACAGGCTGTTCGAGAAATTTGCGGACAGCCCTCAGATGACGCGACTTCACCGAATGCCTTCAGAATTCGGGGTGCCAAAGGTTCGTGAAAGCTTTATGAAGCAATTCGCCGAAGAACTTCAGGACGAATGTCCTGAGCTCAGAAAGTTAGGAGAAGACCAGGCCAATGGTGTAGACATCGTCACCTACAGGTTTGTAGTCGATATTGAGGCAAAGCTTTTTGGTTCGTCTTATCTATATGGAAAGCCTATACTACTGCTTATTATTGCCATGTTCGTTCTCGTTTGCATAGGAAAAAGACCCCTATTCACCTGCTTAATCAACCAAACAAGGTTCGTGTGGCAGCTTCCACACTACGTAGGGTGACAGTCACGAATATTATCATGTGAGTATTGTTGTCGTCACGAGACGTCACGAAGACCCAATTTTCTATTCATACTTGCGTTTCTAAGGGGATCAGGTTTGAAGTTAAATGTATATATAGTAAAGAATTTATGTAGTACCACACATACCACATATACATAGAGCTTTGCTTTGGCAGTTCAACGGCAATATAACGAATCTCTAATTTTGCCATTTACTAGCACAATGGCCTCGAATGAACTTGTGTATTGCATCGATGAGATGGGGCGCACATATGTGTATACGCCCATATACCCTCTTGAGAGCACTGATTTTGTATCCCTCACTGTCGCGCATCGTATATATCTCAGCCTCACTCGAGACCGAATGAATTCACGTTAATAACAGAGCCTCATGTTTAGCTGTGACGAACTATTCATCTGTTACTTCATCTCCAATGTTACGATGAGCACCGTTTGATTCGTGTCGCATCAGGGGTATCATAATGAAGCTAGTTTTATTTAAAGGAACCTAATAATCATCTTTCTTTCATGTAGCCTTCTAGGAAGAGGCAGCTTGCCAGCCATTGGGAGTTACTGGTTTTTCACGGCGAAGTCAAACTAAGAAATTACCGATATCAAAAAAAATTTCATTGTAGATTTTGCTTCTAAATGGTCCTATTGTCATCTTATCGGCGACAATGCTTAGAATGGAACTAAGTGATTATAATATATATATATATATATCTATCACTTGTTAAGCTTTGCAAAGCACCGAGGGGAGGTATAGAGCAAGGATTTTCAGCCGGTTTGCTACCAAGGCAGACTTAAGACGGCTGCAGTATTTACATTAAATGCATATGTCCCTATACGCGCTGCTCGATCGATGCACCTAAATACCAAAATATCTTTTAAACAACTGGCAACCAAACTAAAAAGATACGTGAACTGTTACTTAGTTTCTTGTACTCTGACTTCCATGCAGTGCTCACTTTACCAATAGGCTTTGACATTCTAAACACTGCGGTTAATCTGAACTTGATACATAACACACTTATAAGCCAGTAGACTAAACCTTCAAACAACCATCCCTTGGTAGCTTCGTGGCCAGTTCTAATCAATTTATATAAAGGAAGAAACGTGCACGTGCATTATACGTAGACAAACACTCTTTTAGCCACACGTTGGCTAGGCGATGGAACCGTTTGAGGTTGTCTGTTCTATGAGCGATAGCCATAACGACACTCCTGAACTGTCCTTTTCAGCGACTCGAACCAACAGCGTCTCATAGAAGCAATGGAACCTCCCCCTCAGTCTAGTTGCGGAAGCAAACAGCAGACGAGATTGGATCGGAGGTTAGCATGATTAATAATACCTTTCGGTAGAAGCACTTCTACGATCAGCGTCTACTTTTTCTCCTACCGCTGTTACGCTAACGGAGCTTTCAGCAAAGCAGTGATTTAGCCGTAGGAAAAACTGGGAAACACTCACAATGTTCGACCCGACCCAAATCCCCTTTTTCGATATGTTCTTGTCCGTCAACGCGTTAATTTTGCCCCGTTTGTTCTCCTTTATTCTTTACTCTTCTATTGTGTGTCGTCTACTATCGTCGCATCGATCTGTACTGCTGCGCAGGTTCTTTAGTATTATTAGGTGGCCAATCGTGGCTTACCCTGCGTTACTGTAGTAGAAAAAAAAAGCAACTCTCGCACTGCGCCTACCTCCATTACAGCATCTATGCCACATCATTGAATCATTGAAACGTCAAAGGAAACGATACAGATAAATAGCACAGTTTTTCAACACAATCATTGGTCGAATCTTATTTATAGTTTTCAGTTGCTCTAAATCTCTTGCTGCGGTATTAATATTAGATAAAGCGCGTGTCACGTTCACGAAGGTGACTCCTTGATGATTCCCTATTTAGATATTCTCGACAATGGAAACACGGTAGAGATGGGCGAGGCGGACGAGTCGTGGCTACTCTATCAACGTCCTCGTTGTCCGCTTATTTTTTCAGTTGTTTTCCTGTGGTCCTGTTTTGTTTGTGTTCCACTTTCCCGGCCCGCCTTCGCCCTGGCAATTTTCTCCTCGCTTAAGTCTGCTCCGCTCACGCTTCGTGATTATTATTACCGTGAAGCGTTAGATCTTTTTGGCACTATGACTATTATACTCTGTAGACTTTAGCTGGATAGTTTAACGTGTGCATTATATGGTAGTTAATGGCAAAAACGAAAAAATTATAGCTTTTTAATTGAATTGCAGATGCATTTCTATCCAAATTAGCCGTATGTAAATAGGACCAATAAATAGTACCTAGCGAAAGTACCATGCAGATGCCTATAAGAGTTGAAAAATCGTCGATGTATTAACATACGACAAAATAGGTAGGCCTCGAGAAGACTACAGCAGGCGTCGGTGAAGAACTGCTATCGTATATATTAGGTAACGCAGAGTATTTAGGACATAAATACAAATAGTATCTAATGCTACAGTATCGTACAGTATATTATGCTGATATTGAACATTAAGATATTAGGTAGTAGTTGGCATAAAGTCTGTGCATAACCGTATACAATTGACAAACGAATAAATATGGTTTATTTCGACTTCGTGATGACTGGCCATCCACCGTTCGTTACGCAGCAACGTATTGAGGGAAGAGCAGGGTCCCAGCGCTGCGGGTCCGATAGTGTAAATATCATTCCAATATGCAGCCATCACCACCACAACGTTACCACATTCGCACAAACAAAGCGAAGCTGGCAGAAAAATGGGGACGCAGGCTATAAACGATCGAGCAGCATAATACTTAAATCATAAGAAAATATACAGAATATACTTTCAAGTCAGTCTGTAAATGCTTCGGTAGTCGTAACTGGTTAATTTGTGTGTGATCTATGATTTTGATCAGTGTCGATCCCTCGCCCAGGAGTATATCGATCGTCACGTTGCTTTACGTGTTGCACTGGCCGGCTGTCGTTGTTGCCATCGTCCTAGCCACCGCTACACAATTCTAGAGTCCCCCATCCCTTTGCCCCTACATTTCTTTTATCCTCCTGCTTCTCGTTCCCATTGTCACTACACAAGCCGTGACCTCGTTCATTCTGGTACGAACACAAGTTCTATAATGCGACTTAATTTTCGATCGGTTGACGGATTGATCAATCACTCGCCCGTTTATTCACTAAGTAACTGACTTATCATCGTTGCTTTGGTTGTCGTTTATCAATATATGGTGGTTGTTGTTATCGTTAGCTGTTGTTGTTGTGGTCGTCGATAGATAGTGTCCATTATCGGATGGTGCTGTCGAGGTCGTTGCTGTTGCGGATCTCGTGTCTCCAGAGCCGCTGTTGTCAATGCCCCTGTAGCCTGTCGATTGATTGATTGATTACGTAAATCATTATTGGGTGAGAGATCTATCATGTGTTGTTGCGCCACAGGTAATGATGGCCTCGTATCTGCTGATCCAACGCGAATCTATAAATGTAAGAAAGAACTGTTTCTTGTCAGACTATAATTAAGCTCAGGATGGTGACGAGGAATCCGCTGCCGTCGGTGCTATTGCCACAACGAGAGTGGACAAATCGTTTTGATTCTGTCGCCATTTTCATAAGCCAGTCACCGATTTCGCCCGAATTAGCAGAACGCCCTTGAGCGAGAAGATTATAGAGATTATTGAATTTGTAAATTCGACATTTCAAAATGTGTCCGCGTCCAACGCACCCGTGTCTATGCGTTTCGTACGGCTGTGGAAATGTAGGCAGAACCACATAGGCAAACAACCTTTTCATGGTTTAGTACGGCAATATGACAAGGTCCACGGTTCGTTGCGCCTTATAATATACGCAGTTAGTATATACGAGTCTGCTTAGCGCTAACGATCGCAAGAGAAACGTATCCTATGCATTAACCTCCGGCATCAGGCGTTAAACATCAGGCTCCGGCAGCGCAGTCCGTCTCGATGTTAGGCCCACCCGCGCATCCTTTCGCATGCAACGCATGTTCTAGCCCATTTTTGTTTATCAATGTTCGTATAGCATGGAGACAGTTCTGTGCGCTGAGGTGGTTCGACGTCGTCAAGTCGTTAGCGTCTCAGGCTAACTTTGCTGAGATGAGCTTTCGAGTGATCACTAACATGCTTCACCCTCATGTGAACGATGCGGCTATCGATCGATCGATCGATCGATTGATTGATGGTCAATCGGTGTGAAATACATCGCAAGCAGGTTTTCTCGATCGCGTTCGATGAGGCGTTCGGTTCGAGGCGGGTCGGTGAAGGTGGGCGGCAAGATGGTGGGCCAGGCCGCGGCGCACGCCTACTCCGAGCACATGAAGGAGAACGGCGGAGAGATCGGCCGATCACTCCACGACTTCGACATTAAGATGCTACAACAGAAACGTCAAGTAGGCATTTGCTGTTGTTTGTCCTTTTCATCATAACGCGCATGCAAAAGGTGCATCCATCTGCTATATATACGGGCTTCTTTTGAAAGAGATGGGAATCTTTCCCTAGATTAGATTATCGGAGCATCAAAAAATCGTCATTGTTGCAATGCTTATTGTTTTTGGCTTTGTTCTAGCAAGCCGAGATGAAGCGCAACCAGCGCGAGGAAGACCTCCGCGAAAACCACCCGTACTTCGACACGCCCTTGCTGATCGTCGGCCGCGAAAGTAAGTTCCGGAAGCTTTGTCAGCGAATCGTATACGCACGCTACGATCCACGATTCCGGGACCCCGTGACGGGGCAAGAGAGGAAGATCAAATATAAGACGGTCCAGTAAGTAGCTCGCTCACCTTATTATTCATTTCATTGCTAATCATCTTGCCGTCATTGCATCGATATATGCCGTCAGTTAACCTTACTAGACTCGGGTGATTGTTCAATGTGAACGCTCTGCCAATACGAAAATGCTTACCGCAATGTTCTTATGTAGGCTCTGCTCGCTACATTTCACTTAATGTATTTGGCAATCCCTGATACATTTCAGTAATCTATTGGGTTTGGTTACGTATCTGGACTGGGCGATGATCATGGTTACAACAATCTCTTGCATCTCGATGATGCTAGAAACTCCACATCAACGCGTGATGAATACCCCACGCCTGCAGATCGCTGAGTACGTATTCGTAGTGTGCATGAGCGTCGAACTGCTCCTTAAAACGCTCGCCGACGGGCTGCTGTTCACCCCAAAGGCCCTAGTCCGGGACGCAGCAGGGGTAATGGACGTTTTCGTCTATACCGTGTCACTCATATTTATCTGCTGGCTACCTGAAAAGGTAAGCCCGTGACCACAGAAACACGTTTGTCCATTTTTGCTTATTGTTAGTGTTATCAGTAAGCCAGAATGCGCATTTAATACTGCACTACGAGGGATGAACATTTCCTACGAACTGACTCAACAAAGGTACCTAAATCTGTGTACGTAGCTCTCTATCGACTTAGAGATTTTGCAAATGTAGTGCCTTTTTACTCGAGCCGGACACGATCGGGCTTAGGTCCAAATAGAGTTTCTAGAAGCCTGCTATTCGTCATCGGTTTGTTTCGTTTCCTTTTGGCTGATGACAAATCAGGTCCCGCCGCATTCGCCGGCGCATCTTTTGCTTCTACTGCGCTGCGTACGTCCGCTGCGCATTTTCTCGCTTGTGCCGCATATGCGCCGAGTGGTCTACGAACTATGTCGTGGCTTCAAGGAGATCCTGCTGGTCTCCATCCTGCTTATAGTGCTCATCTTCGTGTTTGCTTGCTATGGCGTTCATCTATTTGGAGGTCGACTTGCCCGCTGCAACGACCCTTCGATATCGCTCAAAGAGGACTGCCGCGGCGTCTTTGAAAGATCTGTGTTTGTCACCAGAATGAAGCTCCAACCTGCCGCTAACAGCTCGTGGCCCAAGTTATTGGTGCCTCGTATCTGGTGAGCATTTATATTGCAGCTTGTTACCTGGGCACCATTTTCGTCACGACAAACAGACAGGCACGGTTTTCTAATGAAAAGCAAGCTGATCTTCAATCATCCCTAAAGTACATTGACCGATGTTACAGGGCAAACCCTCGGCGTTTCCATTTCGACAATATTGGTAATGCAATGTTAGCATTGTTCGAAGTACTGTCCTATAAGGGCTGGCTTGACATACGCGATGTGCTCATCCACCGGCTGGGTCCCGCGCACTCCATCTTCATTCACCTCTATGTTTTCCTCGGATGCATGATAGGACTCACACTTTTCGTAGGTTAGTAAGCAACTAACGGTGTCATACATATTATATACCGCCCGTTCGTTAACTAAACATGATACTAACCATTATATTCGTAATATCGCGATTCTAACTTATTTACAATATATATTATGAGCAAGAAGAAAGTAATCTTGTTCATGCACGGAGAAGATTTCTATTTTTGTAGTACGAACTGCCCATCATCTATAGCTAGAACTGGACATAAATCTACCGCTACATATACATATACAATACCAATGATGATTATTATTTTAGCGTTTAATTAATTCGAATAATAAAAGGACACGTCCGCATATTTGAGGAAAGATGTTGTATTTTGTCGATTTACCGTTATATACACGCGCAGGAGTGGTTATTGCCAACTACAGCGAGAACAAAGGGACTGCCCTTCTAACGGTCGACCAGCGGCGTTGGTGCGACTTGAAGAAACGTTTAAAAATTGCTCAACCGTTGCATTTACCACCACGACCGGATACGCATCGGTTCCGTGCGTTCATCTATGATATTACGCAACAGCTATGGTTTAAGCGGCTCATTGCCATCATGGTGCTGGCCAACAGTTCGTTACTTTGCGTCTCGTGGGGCAGCGATGAAACGCATACCGTCCCGCTCGCCACCGTGTCAGCCGCATTTACGATTCTATTCGGCGTCGAAGTCATTATGAAGTTAATCGCCTTCACACCCCGCGGTTACTGGCAGAGTGGACGCAATCGCTACGACCTATTTGTTACCTGCCTTGGAATCGGCTGGGTAGCATTGCATTTCTCACTTATGAATGCCACCTCGAATACGATCGGATTCGTCATTGTTATTCTACGATTCTTCACGATCACCGGCAAACATGTGGGTGCTTCCACAATCTAATAGCTAGCTCAATAATAATAAAGTATATAATTCTGTATATCGAAGCTATGACTACAAACCGTATTGATGAAGCTAATGGGTCGTAGCGTCGCCAGTATAACCGTTTCCCGTGTGAAATATCTATAATTAGGTAGGTATTTATCCTCGAGCTTTGATTGTTTGACCCGTCCCTTTTCGCCCTGTTCAGGCAACCTTGCGGATGCTGATGCTGACCGTGGTCGTATCGGTCTACAAAAGTTTTTTCATCATCATGGGCATGTTTCTGCTGATTTTCTTCTATGCGTGCACGGGGGTTATCCTGTTTGGCAATGTCAAACAAGGGGAGCATTTGGGACGGTACGTAACCATATCGGCAGTACTGAGAGAGTCCCAAGGATTGGTATTCGTTTACATTAACTGTATGTTGTGGACTATGAACTGAGGAGTTTTATCTAACGGTTGATTGGCATTTTTTTTTCTTATAAATTGTCTATCTACGTCTTGAAAGCGCCTCTGTATACGTATAGCTGTGTAGTCTATGGCACCGGCCGTTTCTGTCGTTTTACTACTGCCCTTTGAATAGCTACCGTCACGCGTCATTCCACACTGCTCCGTCAGGAATTGCCCTTCTCTTTCGAATCGTAACGGGCGAGGATTGGAACAAAATCATGCACGATGCGATGGTTTCCCCGCCGTACTGCACAGTCGGGGAAAACTATTGGGAGACTGACTGTGGTTCATTTACAGGTGGGTGGAATACCATAGATTTACTGTCATAATCCGTAAATTAGATTGATTTAGGTAGATGAGACGAACTGGCGAGTCGTTCTGTCTTCCTAAAACGTCCTAACAAGGCTTCAGTATTTGGATACTTCAAGCCACTTCTGTGCGGCACAAACCTCTAAGCATTTGACAAAAATTGCAAAGAGAGCAAAATTGACAGGTGTGAAAAAAATCAAATCTGATCTTATAATCAATTAGAAAGTTTATAAGTGAAACTTTTAATCAAGAAATAAGTAACTGATAGAATTTATGCTGCCTCTATTGTAAATTCTCCTTAGTCATAACCGAGAAAATATATATTTTTCCTAATTGTATACACACGTCCTACTTAATTGTAAGTTCATACTTGTCTCGTTCTATACATATCTAGGTTGGTTATTATATTGAACTCAGAGATCCTTCGTACCTCTTAGCATTGTCACAGCCAAAAGAGTTGTCTGTTAAGAACTGGAATTAACTGTAGAATAAGGCAGTTCTATACATTAAGTTATTAGCTTTATTATTGAGCTAAATGATTAACTTATGAATATGACATTTCGATCTTCGCTATTGTTTCTTCTTTATTTCAGGGGCATTAATATTTTTCTGTTCATTTTATGTCATGATTACATATATTGTACTCAATCTATTGGTAGCTATTATTATGGAAAATTTCTCGTTGTTTTACTCGAACGAAGAAGATGCCCTTCTATCATATGCGGATATAAGAAATTTCCAGAACACCTGGAATATGGTGGATACTCAGCAGAGGGGTCTTATACCCATTCGACGGTAAGTTTCTAATTTACTTTTAATTTAAGAATTGCAGTATATCAACCTCACTCATTTAATTGAACATAAGCAATTTGGCCAGTTATTGTGTCATAAACAGGCATCTAGCGAAAATGATCTTACTATTGATCTACTAGATGCAAATGTACTCAAATCTTCGTCACGTTGACTTTCGGTATGTAATAAAACATTAACGTTTGAAAATCGCATCTTACTGCATAATTATCAGCCATTATATTATTATTATTATCGTAATACACTTCACGTGGGGTAGTATTGCATCTGTAATTCCGGAATAATTATTTATTTTCCAAGCGAGTCGTCCGCCAGCGCTCCATGGGTAGAGTTCATTACGTTTTCCAACCAATGGATATTTAAACTAGATCTAGTCAACTTTTACAGCATCTATAAAACAGACACATATTTGTTATGTTTAGCATTCGTAATATATTCTCTGCTGGGAACAAATTTGTATTTTTTTCAGAGTGAAATTCGTTCTTGGATTATTGAAGGGCCGTCTAGAAGTAGACCCCGAGAAGGATCGACTTCTGTTTAAGCACATGTGCTACGAAATGGAACGTCTTCATAATGGGGAAGATGTTACTTTTCACGATGTACTAAAGTTAGTCTATTGTGCTCTTTTTGTCCCACAACAATCTCTAAGTTCGACTTTAAATTTAAATAGATTCAGATGGTATGGAACAAGTAACGAGTATAAGAAAGCAAAATGATGTCTTTGATTCGAGCTTCGCACAGTATATCCGACACAAGTCCCAGCATTAAATCACTACGTGAACCGTGCTTGTGCATTGGCATGCATCCACTCCTCTTCCACAAGTTATCCGCAAACGTAAAACATAGACCTACACGTAAAAGACAAAAAAGAAACACAACGCTGACAACGAACTGATAAACGATTTGACGAGAGCTTTTTCTTTAGCATGAATGGAATCTTACGTACCTACTTGCTGTTCATTTCAGCATGTTATCGTATAGATCCGTAGACATTAGGAAAGCGCTTCAGCTGGAAGAACTTTTAGCGCGCGAAGAGCTAGAATATCTAATTGAAGAAGAGGTCGCTAAGCAAACTATTAGGTGAGTGTGATTTGCCGGGACGATCTACCTAGCTCATTTCGCGGATGTCTGTGAGTGAGAAAGACACTAGTAGGCCTGATTAATTACTACTTATCTTCTTCTACTTATCTGTTCTTATCAAACACATGTCGATGGATGCCGCTTCGAAAATAGGCTTTTTCTCTTCATACCTTTTGAACATAGGCACATACTAAGGCTATCCATGATAAAACGATGGCTTCTCGTTGAGTCCTGCAATGCAATGGACGTAATGTACGTGGAATAGGACGATTTAATGCTTTAAGCTAGAAGAGAAGTCTTCCCAGTAAGTCTTATTTCTGTTAATGTCCTCGTTTCTACTTTAAACTCGTTTTTCCAGAGAGTGGTTAGACAAATGTCTGCGGCGGATCAAGCACACGAAAGCGCAAGAGGAAACAAATCTGCTCCACAGTCTTCGGGTAACCAATGAACCTCTTTTGGCCACTCTGCAGGTGGGAGCTTCTCCGGGTGCCTTGCAGAGTACCCTTGACTTGCAGGGCCACCCTTTAGGTCTCTCGCCTCACCCTCCACACTCGCCCGGCCATGAACCTCATCATGTTGGCGGTGAGATCCTCACCGAGGAAAAAGAAGATGAGGATGACCGCGACGATATTGAAGTCGGTGGTATAAGCTCCGAGGGTGGTGAAGGAGACGTGAGCCCGGGTGGTCTTGCTGCCGTTTTGGGCGGTCTGGGGACGTCGGCAGAAACTGATGAAATCGATTTCTGCGAGGTGTTCACCGCGCCTTCGGAAGATCCTCCCACCCCACTGACTAACCTGTCCTCTCCGGATCACCAACAGCTTCACAAACTACAATCAACCACAGCATCATCAGCATTACAACCTCCAAGCGCAACATCGCCAGTAACGACAACTGCAACAACAGTTACAACAACAATAATAACAAGCACTCAGCCACCGACGACAGGAGTAACACCAGGAGTCCTACAAATACAAATGGCCACCAGTGCTACTCCTGCACAGCCCAAGACGGCCACCGGTTCACTCACTCCCCCTGAAGGTAGACACACAGAATATGTAGAACAGTTACCAGCTTTCAAACGAATCGTGGATCGTCGCACATGTTCGTATTCCTTTTATTTTTGTTGTTTCTGCGTTATTTCAGGTTCTTCGGAGGCGGTGATTTTGGCCACTTCGGTTGCGGGAGGTCAACTTCAAGAGGGCAAGGACGGAATCGGGGTAACGAGTGCAACATCAGGAACAAATGCTGGAGTGGGTGGAATACTTGTTAGTGGAGCAAGCAGCTCAGGACAGCAACCTCAGTCCTTAAGTAGAAGTGACACTCCTATGGAAACAGTCAAACAGACGCAACAACAGCAGCCTTCCAGCATTGGGGGACCTGGCAAGAAGCGAGTAGGCATCCACTCAGACAGCATCACGCCTGCAAGCGGGGCCCTTGCGGCTGCCGGTGGGCGGAAATTTCTGATCCCCGGGCCATCGAGCGTCGACAAGCATCTCACTCCAGCGGAGAAGGATCAGAGGGACAAGGAGAGGTCATACACTACTCTCAAAAAATGGAGTTCGGGTAGGTTTTGTACGTGACATGATTGCTAATAATGCTTCATGAAATGCATTTTAGCAGGACTATCACGTTGGAATTTGTGGGCAGGTTGTGCGTTTCGTCTTTCATCTATTAAACCTACAGTTAGGACAACTTAGGTTCATCTATGTTTACGCATAAATTGATATACGTTGAAATCCATCCATTAGTGATGTTTGAAGGTCGCCTCAAGTTACAAATATGGTAATTAAGATCATTGTTGTTGTTGTTCACATCGTCATGGGCGTCGTATGTATCAACGAATTCCTTATTTGATCTTCCAGCGATCGGAAAGGGTCTGCCGGAAGTTAGCGAGAGCAGCGAACTGGCGACGACGCCTGGAACAGATGGAGATAATCCTCTTATGCAACTGCAGCAACACCTGCATTTGCATGGCCCGCTGGACGACGAGGCAGGTGGGCATTTGGGCCACACCTTAGGTCACGCCTTAGGAAGCGGGGCCTTGCGGGAGCCGGGGGGCGGGGTTAAGTTCCTCAAGGCGGTCGTAGGAGAGGTACACGAGTGGTGGAATGTTCTCCTACAAAATAACGATGCCCATGTAGTCGATTCGGATTCGGACAACGAGTACGACTACTACTAACCCATTTTGATACAAAAACAGATCTGACCTTTGCTGGGTCGAAATAAACGTAGCAAAATACTTACTATCGACAATCGATTCCCATATCTCATTTCAGTCAGTCGGCAACACATTTCCAACAATGCGGTCTAATTTTCTTTCAGTAATTGTCGAATTCGTATCCTGCGTAAGCGCGGCTTCTAGTGTCGGAGTTAAGTACTCCAATTGTATTCTAAAAACTAAAAGCCAGTCATAAATGCGCATTTAAACGTTACATCAATATTTTGATCCGTGTCAAGTTGTTGATGAAGGTGTACAGAACGACCATATCGACTGTAGGTCGACTTTCGAACCCTTCCTATATCTCAAATAGGACGAACCAGCTAAGCATTTGGCAATACCTATTCGGGAACCCAAAGTGACCTTCCCGTTTTTCAACTAACGGAGAGAGATTGTTGAGCCCGCCTATGCCGCTTCGTGACCTTCTCGAGCAAGGAAGCAGCTATGGACTCCCCCCCCCCCCCGGCCGCTGTCCAATACGAGTCTCTAAAACTAACTAGATCAGTATATACATATATATACACATCTTCGTAAAGATACATTGAGGTTTATACGAGATAAAGGCAACTACCACAACAAATGATCGACACGAAATGATTAATCGTTTATACAACAATGCTCATTGATCATACGATTACTCGTATATTTCTATATAATAAGTTGGGGAAAGTAAGGCAGAAATGGTCCGGTCGAGTGTTTACTGAGTGGTCATAATTAAATGTCAGACAGAATCGAATTCGACCATTAAGGACAATATTGAGGTAACTCTTTAATACAGGTTATAGATGGGAAAACGTTAGACGAGCTCTAACGATAACAGTATGGTCTACTGAATAACCTTCAAGAAAACACCAACGACCAGTGTTGGTGCGGGTGATCAAAATCAATTCTAGAACGAATTGCGATAGCGGATTGCTAGAAGTTAAATGATAACTCCTCGGCATTTTCACGAGTTCACCGCAAAGAGACGTAGACGGAAGTCGGAACAAACAACTCTTTACGATTTTCTCATCCGATCCTCTGTGATTTCGGCTATATATATATATATATATATATATATATATATATATATACATACCTACATGAATATGTGTGTTGGTATTGCGTGATGAGTCCGGTTAGCACGAGCACTAACGAAAACGAGAAGGTGACAAAGATGATGATATATAGGAGATGTTATATACACAGTGTTATATATAATCCTGAGACTGACATGTATCGTAAGCTTTTTCGATGCAGTGGAGGTTTCCGAGCATGTGCCAGACCAATCGAATATTGTTTTTTTTCTAAATACATTAGATGTTCAGACGATTTATAGGTTCGTATCACGCAGTGAAATAGTAGAATTAAGGGTAAACGCCAGACGTTTGGCTTATTAGGTCGAGATGCGAGGTACAAGAGGATTCCAAAATAAGGTCAAATTATGACAATGGAAAAATTCGTTACTGATGTGGTACGATTGGATTCTAGCAAAAACTCATCGCCGTAGTAAGGGAAAATTGGAAACGGTGACAAATACAAGCTAACGATACTTTTTCAGGACAAAATAACCGACCAATCGAGAAACGGTCAATGAATGAATGAATGAATAATTCTAATTTAATCTCGAGCCTGTTCAGGCTTTCTCTGCTAAGTTAAGTGTTGACGAAATCCAACTTTACCGAACTACCAAAGAATCACCAAAAGATGTTTTTTTACTTGGTGATTTTGGCTTTACTATTAATATGACGACGATGATGATGACAACGTGTATTATCGAAGTCATTATCAAAATTTCAACTATTGATGATGCCCTATTATATCTACTAGTATCTCTCTGACAGAACGTACCATTTTACTCCGAATAATAATAGAGTTCTAGCTTTAATGTTTTTTTTTTTTTGTGTATACGTACGATTACTTCGCCTCTTGCTGTTGCTTTAGTAACGTCGGCGACTGCAGCTCAAAAAATAATAAGGCAGGGGTGCACCCGGCCAGGACAACTGCCACGCAAAACTAGCCCTTTGCGCTACCATTAGCGCAATTCACGATAGGACAGCTGCAAAAAGATCGCTTTTCTTACCAAATGTATATACCTATTTTACAACAAACTATAATTACGCATATAGAAACAGCAGTTTGCTAATTACAACACTTGATTCATTGAAATGAACGTATTTTGGTGGCTATCAATCATCTTACTAGTCGACTACCGACCAGTGCCTAAGTCAATTTCTGGCCTGACCATTACCATACGAATGGATGCGTCCTGACCATACTGGCAACTACGAACAGAGGCCCTTTTTCGATTTCTGTCCATAAGCTTTCAACAACCAATTTTTTCACCAATGTGTCCTATGAGAGGCACACACACACACACACCCACTCATACCGCAACAAATCTAATTCAATCACATCTAACAAATTCAGTGGGCGGGCAAAATAGACCAACTAGGAGGCTTCTTCCAAAAAGATTGTGCTAAGGATCCATTCAGACTAAGCATAGAATTTTCAATTCAATTCGGTCACAGCTAAACACCAGTTTACTGATTATTACACAAGATCCATTTCCTGGACCTTATTGCCCTACCATGAATTCAACAGAACACAGACAGTTGTCAGCTATGGAGGCCCCAAAGCGACCACGTAGGCCCGTTGAGGATCCTCAATCGGCATGTCTTTTTAGCTATTAGCCCAGAGATTTCCTTCTAAGAGATCTACTTCTAAAGAAATGGCGATAGGCTAGCCAGATTGCCAAATGGTTTACCTAGCCTTTCTAACAAACGCGGATCATCAGGATATTATAGTTGCATGCGTTCCTTGTTATGGTTGCCTAATGCCCTTAGGCTTCCTAGTTAAGCTACCATGAATCAGCTGACTTGTCATCATCAAAACCTGTATTCGCTCATTTCTGACTATATACATATATATATTTGCTATCGTTTTGCTTGCCTATATCACGTCCCTTTATGTCGGATATATATGTCTATGTATGTATATATCCATATAGCACTTCATTGTTAGTCTATTCTATTGTAATTAGCGACCGACATCTTATTAACATAACGGAAAGGGTCACTGTTCAATTGTTCGAACACCGTCACTGGGCTTTTTTTCTTATGACAATAACGATGATCATGCCTACAAGCGAATAATGCGAACAGGACGCTTGACCTTGCATGCGATGATAGATGTGGGCAGTGATCTGATCTGATTTGTGCGAATTGGTACTGGAAGGAGACGCTGTTGATTTAAAAGACACGCCTAAGGTAGAGGATGTTCTTCTGTAATATATGATGTCTTCTGCGTTTCTGTGATAGAAATGCAAAATCATGAGATTTCGTTGCCACCAGCGGTTAGGGTGTGCCAAAGTATGCCCATTGGTAGTGATCGATGGCTGACTGGCTGGTGGAAAACGGAGTCTGACCTTTCCGCCTACCCCTGAGGTCGAATCTGCTTAGCCATTTTCCTATTGTTTAGTAGAAATATTATGCATAGACCATACTTTTGTATCGAGGGAGCCAAGAACGAGTTGACGAAGACAAAGACCGAATTATAAGACTAGTTGACATGATTCCTGCTGCAGCAGCGTATCTGTAATATAAGCTATAAATTCCATATGAGCTCATAATAGACAAACACTAATATACAATGCATTTTTCTCAAAACCTGACATAGAGGCTTGAGAACGCCTAGACAAAAGGAGCCGCCGATAATAACAAACCAGGGCTGGCCAATTATAGCATGTCTAGACGTTTTTCGCTCTAGAATTTTCGCTCTTCAGCGTAAGTGGCGCTTGCGGCAAGCTAAATAGAACAAGCTAAAATATAATCTCATCTGACTAAAGCTGAGCGCATCCGTCAGAGCCATGACGGTAGTAATATTCTTGCTTTATTTACTTGTAAGACGACTTAGGCTAACAGTCATCACTAATTAAATAAAATTGTGATGAAAAATCAATAAAATGATACAGACATGTTGTACCTGAATTTCGGTACGACTTTCCATTTATGAGTTGTTGTCACTTGGAAAGGGAACGTTGTAGAAAATAGTACTAGAGATATTTCATATATTATTTCCGTTCGAGTCCGCACAGCTTCCCGCCTCCGCTTTCATAGCCAGAGTTTCAGCCATAGACCCATACAGAAAAATCTATTTTTAAAAAACTCTCTGTTTTTTTTGGACAGCAGCTTAAAACACTTTCGACCCCAGCATCGGTTTCCGGATCGCAATTACACTGCAACAAAGACGTCTCGAATGATTGTCTGCAAGGTTGTACAGAGGCAGCCGGATAGGTAGAAGATGGTCGAATATAGCTAAATATCAGGATTGTGCGCTTCGAAAGATGCACAAGGACGGTAATAGGCTAGAGACTGAACATTGGTCTGATCAACAGCATGGCATAGAAGCTGCACCTTCTAGAAGTTTTTAGTCCTTTTCTGTTCGCCGCCAACAATAAAAGTTATCCGTATTCTAAAGTCTCGCACGGACTCCTACCGTGTATCACGTATGTAATACTTTTTCGTTTCGATAGTAAGTTTTTACAAAGACACATCTTGCTTTAAACTGTAACTTCCCATCATCGCTGCCGTATTCATGGCTCAACTGCGTTCGGTATTATATTCACACTGCCGTAACGTCCGATTGTGATACAAAATAGGTGAAATAGGAAAGGGAAATGCAAAAAAAAAAAAGTATTTTTGCAGTACCTAATAATACAGCTTACACTTTGCCGTGGTTAAGGGCAGCCTGGGATGTTTACGCCATGTACAGTGTGGATTTCATAACCGGGAAGACTGCTCGAAAGAATTTGCTAAGTTCAAAGAAGAAATCTTAGACCTAGAGAGTTTGTTCCAGCCCGGCTGACCACTTAAAGTTGACGATGATTTTGAATGGCTAACAATTTTTTAAATTGCCCAGAATGATAGGCTGCGAACATCAGTCTACTGAAATTGAATGTATGGGATTTGATTAGAAATTGGGTGAAGCGCACGAAAAAACACGATTTCTCATTAACAGGTCTCTACACAAACTTGTTGCGCTGGACGAAAAGTGGTGTCTATGTCGGTATGAAACAGGGGCGGGAATGAGTAGCTTCGAAAAGTACATCTAAACCCAAACGTACTCTTAATCTCACATGAATGGCCTTTGGTGGGATTGTAGGGGCTTTATACTCCTCTGAGTAATGCGTCACCAGAACAGGATGATAAAAAGCTGCATATGGCCTAATTGCACCGATTGAGCCAAACTATGCAACAAAAGAGATCCGACAGATGACGAAAAGTAATTTTTAGCCGCCGATGACAACGGCAGACCGCACATAGCAAAGGCTACGAGACGGCCCTGCAGGTAATAAGGGCGAAGTTTTCTAAGGCCCAGAATAGTCTTTAAACTTCACGTTCAGGGATCACCGTTTTCTCCAATCACTGGCGAACGGAATCAGTAACCGTATGCTTGACGGTAAATCGGATCTAAAAAACTTGGCTAGACGAGTTCTTAAGAACGGGATCTAAGCACTTTTGAAGCAAAAAGAAGTAAAGAAGCTGATTGAGTGATAGGAGAAAGTCGGTGAATGCGTCATAAGGCAATACGTTCAACGTGAGTAAATAGCGGCTTTTATCTATATTCCAACCTAATATAACTGAAGAAAAGGTCGCCAAACGCACTACTAGGTGAGTGTTATCTTACGTTATGTGACGTGTGTGTGTGTGTGTGTGTGAAAGGAATAGGTGTTTTAATCTATTTTTGGAAGTTTTTACGACCTGTTTAGGGAGTGTAGCCAGGCAAGTGTTTGTGACGCGGATAAAGGTCATATATCCAAAAGGAGGCAAGTCTGTTGCGGAATCTTCGGACAAATCCCTTATAGCCACTCTGCAAGCGGAACCTTTCGCTTCAGCCTTCACATTCGCCTAGCCATGAGCTTCATCTCGCTGGCGGGAAGATATATACTGACAAAAAGCCAAATAGGGAAAACCAAGTGGCTAGCATAAGCTCCGAACTGGTCAACGTTTGTCATCGGAAACTCGCTAGATGTCTTTAGATTGCGTTCCTCCGAACCCAGCCTTTAGCTATGTACGGTTACAAGTTGACTGAGTGTCATCCGTCAATAATAAATTTGGAAACAAAGATTTTGCTTAGCATTGAAACTTAAGCATAAATGATTAAGTTTCTAGTTCTGGAAGGTAAGAGCGCTAAAAGAATTTCCTGGAGATCGGTGAAGAGGCTGGCTAAAAAGGCTTCAGCGAAACAACAGTTCCTTCACGGCGCAGTCATCTTTGCAAAAAGGCGCAATTTTGTAGATTGGGGTATAATTACATTCTCTATAGTATTTCCTTCTTCTAGCAAATGAAAGAATCAGCTGCTCAGATCACCTGTTGTAAAGTTGTAGCGAAAACACTTAAGATGAAAAGCAAACAATACGTTCCTCACGAAATGAGTTCACAAAAGCATACACGTAGAGATCACTTGTTCAACTATTACTAAAAGTTAACTGCTTGCAGGACACTGTCGTCACAGATTGGACATGGGTCAGTTTGTGCCGCTCACTAAAAGAGCGTCAGACGAAAGGCTAATTTCAGCTAAGATGACAGTTCCAAATAGAACCGGGCGTGAGCGGATGCTCACACTAGTCACGTTTTAATCAACTGGATCAAGCAGAGCAAAGCTGAGAAATCGCTTTAACCCCATGTTCTCCACATTTGAAACTATATAGTATCAACTGCTTCTACCCATTAAACGGGATGATCCCCTACGCAACGCATCCTTCGGAGCTCTCATTCTCTTAAGCAGACTATCGATAACGAGATTAAGTATGATAATCAAAGCCACCAGCATACAACTTGTAAAAAAGGTCCCCAAACGCTGGCCTCAGCGTGCGAGCAGTGCTGAAAGCGTGTCAAGACCATACCAGAACATTGTTCTTCCACCTCATAGGTCTCAGAAAACATTTGAGTTTTTTTTTTTTTGATCCACTAAATAACTTCTGGAAATCCAGGACTTTTTGCGCCATTTCATCTTTGCTGTTGCTGTTGCAGTGAAAATTCATTGATTGAGCTGAGTTGGCTATTTCGGTTGTAGTCTACAAAGTTCAAAAGCGTAGGGATATAATTGAACCGGGAAACATCAGGAACAAGTACGCCGCTTACCAGTGGCCACAACCTTTTATACGATAAAATAGATATTGAGAGGAACTACGCTAAGCTTGAACCAACCTCAAAATTTGCTTATGAAGTCACGGTAGGAGCGGTACGGTTCGGCCTCACTCAGAGTATTTCGACGATTCATAAGCCGTCGAAACGCATTCGTCCACCTGTTGAACGAGACCAAGAGGAAGGGAGCTGCCTTTGTCGAGTAGTAATGATCGTACGTTCGACAACGTTATAATAAAAGCGTATCGTCCTATGTACAATTCCTATATGAATAATTCCATCATGGCTGTACATTTAAAAGGCCGAATCGAGCTCTGTCTAATTAACCGCATGATCTGAATATCATCTTTGATAATCAGTTTAAGAATATCTCTGCGAACATAAACGTAACCCAAACGCTCATTTGACAGCGACTAGCGAGCATCGCGGTTAGCGAACGAGACCATACAGACAGAGAAAGAAGTTAACGAAGCTAGAGCATCAGGACCCTACAACAAATAACCAGTGAAGTCACCAATGGCGACAACCGGACAATTGCCAATCAGGACCAAGGCACCTAAGAGGTGCTTCGTCCTGCCGGATACGACTTGCGGTTTCCTTTGTTCTTGGTCCCTGTTTGCGCTGAACTTTTATCAGTCCCATCGTCATTGCCATTTACATTCTGCCTTCGATGCCTTTAGTAGACGACGTGTCGTCCACCACGAGCTGAACGCCCGTTAGACGCTTCTCCGTTGTTGATGTTGTCATTGTCCTTGCTGTTACGATTAAGGCTGAAAACTGCTTGTCAATTGATACCTCATCATCTATTGAGCTATTCTGGGTTGTCTATGCGGTTTGCCCACTTACGTTTTGCTCGGTAGAGCGTAGCGGTAAAACAGAGTTACCGATTCAAGACTTACCTGTAAAAATCTATTTTGTAGGTAACTAAAGTATTCAATCGTACGGCCCGCTTTTACGAGTCCAGGCTAGAGACGCCGTTGGTATTGAATTACTGAAAGAATTACAGAAAGTTAGTACTAGATAGCATGGTGATGTTTTGTCACCACAAAGCCAACTAGCAGAAAGAGAGAATTAGTGTCTAACTGTATAGGCTTATCAGCGTGGTGCTTGTCACTAAACTCGAAGGTTGGGCCAAGACCGTCGAGCATTGTCCGGAGATCTTTATTGTCAACTTACGCTAGACGGTAGACTATTCGAAGTTTTCCCAGTTCAGTCGTAGACCATTTGTACTCCGAGGTAGTGCTAAACAATTGAAGATAGAATTAAGCTAGTTTTTTTCCAAGACATTTCGACTATTGCTACCGCTAACTTGATGACGACTACCTGGCATCCAGTAGGAGATCCACACTAGGTCAATGCTATCGACACCTGTTGGGGCATTCAAAGAAGCATTTTCTCAACATTTGCCTCCGTCGTGTACTGAACTACTATCGTGTACTATCATGTTTCTCTTGCGAGGAGCCATCGGATGTCCTCTGGTCAAAGATAACGTTTGTTTTTATTACTATTTTTTTTTAGGAAATCTGATGTTTTAGTGATCCGACACTGCTCAAACGTCAAAAGTGAAAATTAATATTTGTCGTCGTACTACGGTAGCGTTTCATTTACATTCATTTAATTTGATTAGGTGTTTATCTTTACTTATAGAGTATTTTACAACTTTATTTCGGTCAAGATAAATGCATTCTAAGTCTTTTTCTAATGCGGATTCTTTATAATTTGTAGATTGATCGTCCATATGGCCTTTGCGTATCGCCTCTACAAAGGGTTTCAACTTTCGAGAGTTTTTTTTTTTTTCTTTAACTAATGTTTAGTGCCTCCAACGGCCTAGTTATCACCTCTCGTCTATGGT